GTGCCCAGGAGGAGCTTGGGAAAGGCTGCCTCTGCTGCTGAGCTGGTGGGTAGGCATGGGAGCAGTGGGAGCTGCCTCCTCCCCCAGCTGCTGGGAGGGACGGACCCCCCCAAACCCTGGGCAGAAAGGAGGCTGAGGAGATAGGCAGTGAATCAGTGAGGGGGTGAGTGGCACCTGGGATCTGGGAGGCAGCCCGCTCACACCTGTACCCTTGGCGCTTGAGCAAGGCCCTGGAGCAGACAGCTGGGCGCAAAGAGCTCTGGGACTTGAGAACATCAGGACAGAGGCCTGCCTCGCCCTGTGGGAGGAGGGTCCCTCCCAGGGAGCCAGAGGGGAGGGTTGGAGATGATTCTGAGATGAGGAGGACTGAAAATTCTCCCTGTGGCAGGCCTGGACCAGAGGGGAGGGTTGGAGATGATCTAAGAGGAGGAGGGTTGAAAATTCACTCTGTCAGGCCTTTGTGACTTCAGTACGGTAAGGAGTTATCACACACAATAACCTTTTGTTTCTGTGTGGAAATCACCATGCCCTCTGGGCCTGGGAGAAGTCACTGGGAGACAGACCACACCTCCCTCCTTAAAAGGCCCTTTTGGCAGAAGAGGGCACTTGGGTGAGGGCATCTGAAGATCCTCATGGGGGAGGGGAGAGCATGGTGACAGTTCTCACACCCCAGTGGGGGACAAGGACAGCTTGGGAGAGCACCTTTCTGAGCCGGATCCACCCTATCTGCATTAGCCTGTTGTCAAGGTGTGACTCCAGGGGGATAATTCTGAATTTGAGAAGCTCACAAGGTCTGAATTTGGTATGGTGGCTGCCCAGGGGACAGGGACAGGCCACACCTCTGCGGAGGGAGGGACTTTTCTCCTCAAGGGAATGGAAGGTCCCACTGTCAATCACTCTGGGCAGAAACTGCTCCCAGGTGAGAACTGGGGAAGCAGCCGGAGGGGGAGGGAGGAGAAACTTCTCCTGCCTGAGAGGCCAGGGGTCACTTTGGCTAGACTTGTTCTCCTCACTGTCTGGACCACTTCCCTGGGGGTGGGCATAGCCCTTCAGCGGGTGTGGAGGGGGGGGGGGCTGGCCATGGGGTGGTGGGAGAGGAGAGGGGCAGGGATTCCGGCATGGCCTTGTTCTGGGCGGGAATGAACTAACTGCTATAGGTTCCACTTGACTTCCACTTTCCTCTATCTCCAAGTCTTCAGCGGAGTTTTCAAATGGCCAAGACATGGCTGTTCCCGGGGTGCTCTGGGAAGGTGGAGGAGGGCCTCCAGTCACACCTGGGACAGGGGGACAGGGAGTGGCAGAGGCCCCCAAAGGAGGGAGCAGCGGTGGGTGAGAGAATCCTGCCACCACACCGAAGGGAGGAAGGGAGGGAGGCCTCTCTAAAGGGCACGTGGTTACCGTGGTTACCGTCAGGGCTGCGGAGGTCTAGAACCTGCAGCGCTCCTGGCATCTGAGTGCACATTTGTACAGTGTGCCCCACTGTTGTCCCAAGTGAGTTGTTCCATGACTATTCATTGTCCTGTGTGTCCTGAATAACATCCTGAAGGTGGTTCTGCGCTGCCTTCTCATGGCAGAACTCCTTTTGTGAAACAAGGACTGTTCAGTCTTTTCCTTGGTCTTAATCTCCTTTTCATCCCATTCCATTTTCATGACTGGCACCTTCCCGGCGAACATCATCAGCTGCTCTGGCTGTGTTTCTTAGGTGTCTGTGTGGATCACTGGCCACCCCCTGCTCAGGGGAGCGCTGAGGTGAGGGGGCGAGACCAGCACCTGCGGCCTCCTCTGGGCCTGGCAGCTGTGCTCAGTGGGCCAGGGGTCAGCCCCGCCTCCTGAGGCCCTGGCCCAGCTTCCTGCTGGGCACCCAGAACCTTCCTAAGGAGCCTGCTTGCTTCCTACTGAGGACTGTACAACTCACCTGCACTCATTCCTAAGGTTTTGTACCTTCGCGTAAGATCACTTCCCATTTTTGATCCTTTATTATTGCTGCTCTTTTGCCTCAAACTAAGAAAGTAACAGGGAAAATAAGATTTTTTTTTTACCTCTATCTTTTAGCAGTGATTTCAAGTGACTTTGCATTTGGGGGTAGAGCATTAAAATAAAGAGATTTCAGGAAAACTTGTATGCTTTATGATGGCTCATAATGACTTAAAATTAATTCCAGTTTTAATTATGTTCAAACTGAAGCTCATGTTTGTTTGTTTGTTTTTAATCCTTTTTCAATGATTTCAGAGAGGAAGGGAGAGGGAGCGCTGGAAACATCAATTATGAGACAGAATCATGGATCGGCTGCCTCCTGCACATCCCACACCAGGGATCAAGCCCACATCCCGGGCGTGTGCCCTGACCAGGAATCCAACTGTGGCTCCGGGGTCATAGGTCCACGCTCAGCCACTGAGCCATGCCACATTGGAGACCAGCCAGACTGAAACTCGTGTTTTAAATAAATTTGCAAACACTCATTTAAAATTATAATTTACATGAGAAAAAGAAAAGCAATTTAAATTTATCTCCAAGTCATATTTATGTGGTAATTTTAATTGCCTGTAAAAATTTTCTCTAAGTTATAAAAATGCCTTGCTTTTTATTAAGACTTAGACTAATATTCTCACGATGGGCAAACATGTGCTATAACACAGGCAATTTTAAGATAATTACTAATACTATGTCCAGTTATTATTTCTTATTTATACTGCAGCTAGAATCTTGCAGTACAAATAAAAGCAACTCCGAATGTTCTTTGTAACATTATTTCTGGAGTATATGTTGATAGCTTTTATTTTGTAGCAGCAAAAAATGAAAGCTTAGGGCAGGCATCCTCAAACTTTTTAAAGTGGGGGCCAGATCACGGTCCCTCAGAGAGCTGGAGGGCCGGACTGTATGAACTACTAATTCCTACTGTAACACCTCGGCTGCGCTCACTGCCCAAAAAACCTGGCGGGCCGGATCGGACTCCTTTGCGGGCCGCATGTGGCCCCGTAGTTTGAAGACCCCTGGCGGGGACAGTCAGGAGGTTTAACCTGGAGCTAATGGGCTTAACTACCCTCTTCTTTCACAGCACAGATGAGACAAGCAGCTGCTAGCTATCTTAGAGTTTCAGTCTCCGGGAAGACAAAAATAACCAGGTCAGACTCGCTCTAGTAGAGAAGGTTAAAATCACTGAAAACTAGGACTGCTTAGAATGAAGAGAAACATTTCAAAGTAGCTTATTCCTTAAGCATTCAGGGAAAGCAGTGTCAATGCATACACAGGCTCATTGATGAAACTGAGTTCATTACCTCACACGGAGTGAAAATTCTCTCACTGTAGCTATGTAACAGATATGCAGCTATGTATAGGGCAGTGGTCGGCAAACTCATTAGTCACCAGAGCCAAATGTCCACAGGACATTGAAATTTCTTTGGAGAGCCAAAAACCAGTTTCTGCGCATGGGCCAGGAAGTTTCCATCGCACTGTATTACACGCCCGCATGCCCGCACGTGGTATTTTGTGGAAGAGCCACACTCAAGGGGCCAAAGAGCTGCATGTGGCTCGTGAGCCGCAGTTTGCCGACCACTGGTATAGGGTATAAAACCCCCACACATTTAACTAGCTAACCAAGACTGAAAAGTAAGAATATACTAACACATGTTCTGCTCATTGACACACGATAGTCAATAGGTAGGTCTCCTTTAGGGTCAAGGGTTTTAGGCGGTGGAGTTTTCTTTGACCATACACAGAGAGAAGCTAAATGTAATGACTAAACCACCGACTGGCATACTTTTGAGAAAAACGCGTTCTTTCTTAGAAGGCTCCCTGTAAGGTGACCAGACATCCCGGTTTTTAACAATTTGTCCTGCGTCCCGCGGTGAAAATCGGGGCTTTGTAAAACCGCCGAGAATTTGGAAACAGCCTAGGTGATTGGATCCAAAAACTATGGTGCATCTACACAATGGAATACTATGCTGCCATAAAAAAGAAGGAATTCTCATCATTTGCAGCAACCTGGATGGGATTGGAGAACATCATGCTGAGTGAAATAAGCCAGTCAATGAAAGAGAAACACCACATGACCTCACTCATTTATGGATAATAAAGAACATTATAAACTGATGAACCAAAAGATCGATATAGAGACAGTGTATCAACAAGCAGACTGTCCAGTGACAGCGGGGAGGGGAGGGAGATCTGGGGGAGATAGATCAACCGAAGGCCTTGTGTGCATGCATATAAGCAAAACCAATGGACACCAAACTCCGGGGGGCGGGGAGGGCATGTATGGGCGTGGGGGGGCGATGGAAAGATATGTACACATATAATACCTTGATTAAAAAAAACAAAAAACACGCCACGGGACGCAGGACAAATTGTTAAAAATCGGGACTATCCCGACAAAAGCAGGAGGTCTGGTCACCTTACCCTTGGGCCCTAAGTCATTGCTCCTGTGCGGGCGCTTGGGGTGGTCAGAGGGCAGAATCCCCTTTCCTTGGCACACATGCACAGCCTGGGGACCCTGTGCCTCCATTAGGGGCAGCTGCTGGGGGAGAACATGGGGCATTCTGGAGGAGCCTGCAGACCTGGCAGGAGCCGCGCCCACCGCGAGGCCAGGGGGACTGTCCCCGCCTCCCCCCCAGGGGGCGCCCGACCTCGCTCCCAGGGGCACTGTCCCCGCACCCAGGGGGGCCGTCCCCGCACCCAGGGGCGCCCGTCCTCGCTCCCAGGGGCACCGTCCCCGCACCCAGGGGGGCCGTCCCCGCACCCTGGGGGACCGTCCCGCACCCAGGGGCGCCGTCCCCGCACCTAGGGGGATCCGTTCCCGCACCCCGGGGCGCCCGTCCCCGCACCCAGGGGGACCGTCCCGCACCCCGGGGCGCTGTGGGCGGACCCGCCTGGGACTGGGCGCAGGGCGGGAGGGGAGGAGGCGCCGGGGCGGAGGGCTGGGCGGCGAGGACACTGGGGAGCGGGGCGGGGCGGGGCGGGGCGGCGGCTCTGTCCCAGCCCGGCCGGGCCCGGCCCGGCAGACGCACCGGAGAGGAGCCGCTCACCCGCCAGCCCGCTCCCGGCCGTCCCGCCGCCCATGGCCGCCGCCGCGCCCCCCATGGCCCTGCGCGGGGCGCCCCGCCGCCTGCTGCTGGCCCTCGCGGTGAGGGGCGGGGGGGACCCGGGTCCGGGGCGGGGGGAGGGGGGAGCGCCCCCCAAAGACCGGGAGCCCGGAGCCCCGACCTCGGAGGCGGCGCCCAGAGCCGGCGGGGAGGATGCGGGCGGTGGACGGGCCGGGGGCCCGGTGCGGGGGACCCTGTGCGGGGCGCACGGAGGGGGCGCGGGGCGCACGGAGGGGACGCGGGGCGGACGGAGGGGACCCGGTCTGGGCGGACGGAGGGGCCGCGGGGCGCACGGAGGGGGCGCGGGGCGGACGGAGGGGGCGCGGGGCGCACGGAGGGGGCGCGGGGCGGACGGAGGGGCCGCGGGGCGGACGGAGGGGGCGCGGGGCGCACGGAGGGGCCGCGGGGCGGACGGAGGGGCCGCGGGGCGGACGGAGGGGGCGCGGGGGCGGAGGGGGGGGGCCGCGGGGCGGCGGAGGGGCGCGGGGAGCAAGGAGGGGGCGCGGGCGCACGGAGGGGCCGCGGGGCGGACGGAGGGGGCGCGGGGCGCACGGAGGGGCCGCGGGGCGGACGGAGGGGCCGCGGGGAGCACGGAGGGGGCGCGGGGCGCACGGAGGGGCCGCGGGGCGGACGGAGGGGCCGCGGGGCGGACGGAGGGGCCGCGGGGAGCACGGAGGGGGCGCGGGGCGCACGGAGGGGCCGCGGGGCGCACGGAGGGGCCTCGGGGCGGACGGAGGGGCCCCGGTCGGGGCGGACGGAGGGGACGCGGCCCGCTCCGCCCTGCGCCCTGCCCCGCGGGCTGAGGCTCCCTCTCCGGTCCCGGCGGCACTGGCTTCCGCCTGGGGTCTGCGGTGGGCGGGCGCGTTGGGAGGGCGCCCAGGGCACAGGTCTGGGTGGGGGTTGGAAGGACGGGGGTGTTGCCAAGCCCAGACCCCCACCCTATCCTGGGGTGTCCTGTGTCCTGGGCCCGGGAACCCTGAGACCCACCCAGCAGGGGATCTGCCTGGAGAGGCTGTTGGGGCGCTGGAGGACTGGGAGACATCCCGCAAAACCCGGAGCCCCAGGGAGGCCCGGTGCATGAGGACCTGCTGGGAAAGGGGCTGGGGAGCCATCAGAGGCTCCGGGCCCCAGGGACGGGATGGGGCCCGGGGAGAGCTCCCTGGCCCCCAGGTAGCTTGACTTTGGCTGCTCCCTGCCCCCCCCCGCAGGCAGCGGGGCCCCAGCTTTGCCCGCTCTTTGAAGGAATGAGCTATGAATATTGGGTTGATAGTTATGATTGAGAGCCACATGCGGCTCTTTGGCCCCTTGAGGGTGGCTCTTTCACACAATGCCACGGCCTGGGCGAGTCTATTTTGAAGACATGGTGTTAGAAGAAGTTTAAGTTTAAAACCTGTGGCTCTCCAAAGAAATGCCCATGGTTGTGCTGTTGGTATTTGGCTCCGCTGAAGAATGAGTTTGTCCACCACGGATAAGGCATAGTTGTGGGCAAAGAATCATGCAAACGCGGGCATCGGCTGTCAGGCCGCTGTTCCAGCACATGCCCCAGCGACACTGCCCTCCTGACAACGGGACTGTGCGCAGCGTGTGCCTGTGGGCACAGCGGGCCCAGCCTCCCGTGTGAGCGCCATGGGGGCTGTGGGTGCTGGTGTCTGCTGGGAGGCAGGGCCGGAGAGCGGGCCAGCAGAGGAGGTTTCTGGTTCCCAGATTCCTCCCGTTGGCGGGAGGGCAGGGCGCGGTGCAGGGCGCGGGGCCGGGGCAGGGTGGGGGGCATTGGGGCGCGGCAGGCAAGAAGATGCCTGTCCTGGAGCGATAGCATCAGCAGCAGGATAGGACGCTCGGGAGGCTGCTGTGAGAACAGTTTGCTGAGTTCAGAGGAAGCGGGCGGCTGGGCTTCTCACAGGGGAGTGGTGGGGAGTGCCTGTGGGATCCTCCTTCCAAACCAGGGTTAGGAGCGCCCTAGCTCTGTCCAGGTGGGTCAGTGAGACCTCTCCTGGCCACACCAGGTCTGGACTTCCTTCTGACTGACTCCTCCGATCACAACTTTTCAGGCTATTACATTGCCATCACCTGGAGAAGCAGTTTTCATTTAAAAGATATATATATATTTTATTGATTTTTTTTTTTACAGAGAGGAAGAGAGAGGAATAGAGAGTTAAGAGACATCGATGAGAGAGAAACATCCATCAGCTGCCTCTTGCACACCCCCCACTGGGGATGTGCCCTCAATCAAGATACATGCCCTTGACCGGAATCAAACGTGGGACCCTTCAGTCCTCAGGCCGAGGCCCTATCCACTGAGTCAAACCGGTCAGGGCCACAGTTTTCATTTTATGGCTTCCTTAATGGGGCGCTCACACAATCCCACGTTTGAAGTGAGCTCTTCAAAGCACCACACGGAGGCTTTGAACCTCAGCCTTCCCACCCAGCGGGGTCCCGGGCTGGGGAGTCTTTCCATGTGCACTGTCCTCCCGTGTCCCCTTGTTCTCCGCACACAAAGGAAAGAGGTGACAAGGAGAGGGGGAGATTCCTCACGCAGCAAAAGCTGCTAGGTATAGTGCACACTGAGGTGCGTTAGTTCAGTTCTGAGATGTCTATCCAGTTGCAAATACTAACATTCTTTTAAATATGTGCTTACTATTGCCCACCGTATACATCCTGTCTTGGGCATTACATTGTTATCTATTATTATCTATTAGAAATAGGGTGTAATGGGACACGGTTAACCCACCTTTTGGCTAAAAACGGCTGTTCTTCAAAAGGAAGGGAACGTGTTGCTGTTTTATAGCACACCATGTTTTTTACCATGTTTTCCCCCCGGGACTGTGAATTCTGCCCAAAGCCTGTGTTGACAAGCTGGCGTTCTACCTTTCCAGATTTTATAGCGTTCATGAAAGAGAATGTGGAACATGGCCCCTTTCCCAGAAAGACTTTGTTGTTGTTGTTGTTCACAACAATGGATATAGTCATCTTTTTAAAGTAAAAATGGGCATGCTCCTTCCTGTTATTTTTTGCCCTAATGAAAAAAAGCTTAGGGCAAATAAAGGAAGCAAATGAGAACTGGTTCATAGTGAAGCTGAGATCTTAAGGAAGTCAAAGTTTCAGTGTGCATTTAGCTCTATATAGTTAGATCAGCGCATTATCCGCTATCTTTTCCAAAGGAGGTTGTTGCTGTTCACGCTGAGACACAGCGAGATCCTGAATCACTCTGAATCACAAATGCCCCTAAGCCCAGGCACATCTTGGGCTCTGTTGTAATTCCCTTGGCAGTTGGCATTCCATATACGGCACCTGACTTGTGGTTAATCATCCTTTCCATTTAACTGGAATCCCATCTTAGAGTTTGCTAGAAAAAAATTCAGTAGAATCAACTCAGCCCTGAGATTACACAGGTAAATCTTACAAGTTACCTTTGATAAGATAAGAATCTGAAAGATGACATTTTCACTTTGCAGAAGTGAAAAAGTTATGAACTTAAAATTCCATAACTATTCTGCTCAGTCAAGACAGTGTCTTTATTTATTTAGTATTTATTTGTTTTTAAACTACAAATCTTTTAAAAAAATATATATGTTATTGATTTTTTTACAGAGAGGAAGGGAGAGGGATAGAGAGTTAGAAACATCAATGGGAGAGAATCATCGATCAGCTGCCTCTTGCACACCCCCTACCAAGGTACATGCCGTTGACCAGAATTGAACCTGGGACCTCTCAGTCTGAAGGCTGACGCTCTATCCACTGAGCCAAACTAGTCAGGGTTACTTAAACTGCTTTTTCCTTCATTAAAAAGGGTGTTCTTTTAGAAGCCCACCTTGTACATTCATTCACTGTAAAACTGAACAACATGCAAAAGTGGTACAATCTCAAATAGCATCTTTCATCCTCACTCTCCTTTTGGCATTAGCTTTTTCTATCAGTATTTAATGATTTGTATGATAAGCTTTTTATCATATGATTAATGAAATTTTCAGTACTATAATATGAACCAAGGCGATTTATTTTCCCAGACTACAGTAGGTTAAGCATTTTAAAACATTTAAATTGTTATATTTTGATTTAAAATTGTTTGCAACTCTAGGGTATGTAAGTCAGATATTTAAAGTTGTCCTGAAGTTTCTCCATTAAAAGAGAGATTTTGTAATTCAAATAGCCAACCCATAATTCACCAATCTTTAAAAAAAAGTCTTTTTGAATGCTGCAATTTTTATTGGGCATGATTTTATATAAAAGTTATTTTAAAAAATTTCTTCAAAGGTCATTACTTCATCATTGCTAACCTAATTATGCCTTTGCATTTTTTACTTTATTTTCAATAACATATCCAGTCCCCATACATATAGTATCAAATCATTTTATTTTCAAAAAGCAAGAAATAATTGAAATCTGTATATGGATTTCACTCCTTTACAAATGATATTAGTGAATTAATTGCATGTTCTTTCTCATGAGGTACTATACAACAGCGTAAATGAACTACTGCTGTATACTCAGCATGCATACATTTCACAAACATAGTTTGAGCAAAGAAATCCACAATACGCATGTGACTGCATATATTGAAAAGCCAAAAATTTGGCAAAATACACGTGTATCTTTTTGAAGTAGGGAAGGAAATGTAGATGGGAGAGGCCTTGAAGAGAACAGTAATGTTTTATATTATAACAATGAAGGAGGGTGTTCTAATTTTCATTTTATTGTTTTAAAAAGTACCTATTTATGCTACATATAGTCTTCTGTATTTATATTTTAGAAAGAACATTAAAAAATAAACAAGCAATCGAGAGAATAAACAAAGCCAAACATGCTTTGAAAATATAAACCTTGCTATGATTGAGCAAGTATAAAACACGGAGGCACAAATCAAACAATATTGAGAATAAAAAGGAGGCATACTCATCAAGAGGACATAGGTTTTAAAAATTAGGTGAAAGTATTAATAGATGATTCCAATTAATTTGAAAACAGAGTTGGGCAATTTCTTACAGAATTCAAATAGCCAAAATGGACTCAAGGGGGTATACAAAGTTTACATAGACTTAGAACCATTGAAGACACTGAATTAGGAGCCAAGCAGATGCTTCACTCCCATCCATCAGGCCCAGACCTGTGATAGGTGCATTCCTCCATAATTACTTGGAACAGGTAATTTGCATCTTATATAAGCCATTTCAGAGGACAGAAAAAAGCTAACTCACTTTATGGGGATTGTATGAAGTTGAGAAGGAGTAGCTTAATCTTATTTATGGACATATACTTAAAATACTAAAATAGCAGGAAACGAAACCAATAATGTCTTAAAGATCACCATGCCCTATAAGGTTTGTCACAGGAATGGAATGACATCAAGACATCTATTATTGTATTTTAACATATAGTAATATATTCAGAGAGAGAAGATAATACATTCTTTTCAAAATAAGTGGATCACTATCTTTATTGTTATAAAAATCCTGAGCAAACTAGGGATCTAAGGGAATAACATTTCTTAATATAGTGAAGCCTGCTGCACGTGAATGAATGTGTGGATGACAGGAAAAGAGAAGTACTCAAAACTAATGGTCAGCTGCTAAAACCGTTCTCTTTGAAGTGAGAAACAATCCCATGTTGGTCCCTGTAACTGCTTTTATCCAGCCATCTCCTGAGGTCCTCACCAGCACAGTAAGATAAGTCTAATTGCCGTTTTGCCTGCTGTAGGATTAGCTTCCTGGGAGATCCAGCGCTGTCTGGACAAACTGCTCGAGTTAATAAAAGTAAGCACGTTTTGCCGAAACCGGTTTGGCTCAGTGGCTAGAGCGTTGGCCTGTGGACTGAAGGGTCCCAGGTTTGATTCCGGTCAAGGGCATATACCTTGGTGGCAGGCACATCCCCAGTAGGGGGTGGGCAAGAGGCAGCTAATCGATGTTTCTCTCTCATCGGTGTGTCTAACTCTCTCCCTCTCCCTTCCTCTCTGTAAAAAAATCAGTAAAATCTATTAAAAAAAAAAAGTAACCATGTTTTCTGGATGAAACAAATCTAAAAGGATTTTGATCAGCTGATCATGAAAAAGTTGTGGAAGAGTAGAAGGCTGAACAAAACAAACCAGATGAGAGAGATTGAGGTCACCGGAACACATACCTTGTTTATTTTGGTCTTTGGGTCCTTTGCATTTCCACAAGGATTAATGTTTAATTGCTGCAAAATAGATAGGTAGATGATAGATAGATAGATAGATAGATAGATAGATAGATAGATAAATAAAAATGAAATAAAGCTATTTGGGATTTTGATGGAGATGGTGTTGCATCATAGGACTGTGTCTTCTGGTGTATGAAGATGACATATCTGTTTTGAAGGCCATTGTTTGCTTGCGCATTCAGATATTTTTATTGCTCGTGCACAGGAATGCCATTGACTCGGGGACTTTGGTCTTAGGTTCTGCAAACTTGCTCCACTCATTTGTTATTCATATTATTGTGGGGTGGACTTCTTAGGATTTCCTATGTCAGATCATCTGCAAACAGACGAGTTTACTTCCTTTCCAACCTGATGCCTTCAGTTTGTGTTCTCTGTAGTTCCCTGGCTGGCCGAGCTCCGTGCAGTGCTGAGTGGAGGGGTGAGAGGGGGCGTCCGATTGTCCCCCAGGTCAGCAGGCAGCGGCCCTCCGCGGAGTGGGTGTGATGGTAGCTGTGGTTTTCCACAGATGCCCTTCTCTGGTAGAGCAAGGTCCCTTTTCTTCCTAGTTTGTTCATTATAAATGGGTGTCGAGTTTTACCAATTGCCTGTTTTACATCTGTTGAGATGATCATGTCCTTTTATTCTGTTTTTTTTTTTAAATCCTGTATTAAGGTAAGATTTCCATACACAAAGCTGTGTGTGTTTAATGGTGCCGCCTGATGAGTTAGATAAATGTAAATCCGTGACCTCATCACCACCGTCTGTGCCATAAACATAGCCATCACGTTCACAAGTTTCCTCCCACCCTCATCATTGTTATTTAATAGTGAGTGTACAGTACGGCATTGTTAGCTGTGAGCACTGTGCTATGCACATCTCTAGGACTTATTTCCGTTGCGTAACTAAAGCCTTGTTCTTTATTCTGCACCTTATTCATGCAGCCTTTTTGCTTTATTTTCATTCTAGGTCTTCAGTTTTGCGTGTGAAGCCTGCGAAAAGGTGATATTCCATACGCCTTCCACACTAGAGGCAGACAGACTGGTGGGCAGAGGTGAGCAGTGTGAAAACTGTTTTTAGGTCAGAAATGTGGCTTACTTGCCCTGGAAAGAGCAGCTGGCCTGACCTGGGCATTGAGGGATCAGCCTGCATAGTTGTAACTAGAGACAACGGGAGATAATGTAAATACATGCTTCTGCTCTGCATGCCTGCACTGAGTTTGAGTTGAATGCTCAGGGTCCAAGCCTTGTGTCTGTGGTCATTCGGGCTTTGAGAGTCTAACACGTACATGCAGACTTACATGTAGAAAGAACCCTGCATGGCTGTAGGACTGCAGCTCTGGAGAAGGAGAGGTAAGGCGCTGGCGATCAGGGCAGGTTATCCATACCGGGCTGCCTCCCGGAGCAGGGCAAGGAGAGCCACTCCATCAACACAGAACCCAGCCCTTTGCTTCTGAGGCGTTAGGGAGCCTCGGACGTTCCCAGTAGCTGAGAAGCTTGGCCCGGGCCGACATTCTCTGTGGTACAAGGAATATTGTAGGAAAGTGTCATGATAGATTTTAAAATACATATTTTATTGATTTCAGAGAGGAAGAGAGAGATAGAAATATCAATGATGAGAGAATCATTGATCAGCTGCCTCCTGCACACCCCACACTGGGGATGGAGCCTGCAGCCCAGGCCTGTGCCCTGACCAGGAATTGAATTGTGACCTCCTGGTTCATGGGTCGATGCCCAACCGCTGAGGCATGCCAGCCGGGCATGTCATGATGTCTTAAAAAAGAGAGATATGACTCTTTCTAGAGATACCAAATAATTTTTCAACAGAGTATACCATTTATGGTTATAGTGCCTCATTTAATTTTATCAAACAAACTAGAGACCCTGTGTACGGATTCATGCACCAGTGGGGTCCCTCGGCCTGGCCTGCGAGATCAGGCTGAAGCCGGCTCTCTGACATCCCCTGAGGGGTCAGAGAGAGATACAGGAGGTTGGCCAGTTGGGTAGGAACCCTAGGAGGACTCCAGGGTGCATCTGGCCCATCTCACTCAGTCCTGATTGGCTAGACCCCAGCAGCAAGCTAAGCTACCAGTTGGAGCATCTACCGCCTGGTGGTCAGTGCACATCATAGCGAACGGTTGGGTGAGCTTAGCATATCATTAACCTATTATACTTCAATTGGCTGAAGGGATGACTGGACACTTAGCATATTAGGCTTTTATTATATAGGATGTCCCTATTGTTCCTGTGGGGAGGAAGAAAGGAGCAGCTGTAGAGAGTGGCAGGGGTGTTCCTCTCGGGAAAGAGACCGGAGCTTATCGCTGTGCTAAAAATGCTGAGAAGAGAGAAAGAGGTCATTGCTCCTAAAGACGGGCACGTCTTTCTGACTGTGGATGAGAGAGAGCAGGATGCCTGGGCAGCGTGGATTCTCTGCGAGGTTATCACTTCCGTGAGGAGCAGAGTGCCAGCCTGGTTCTGGGAAGGCAGACAGCTGAAGAATGGGGTGGATTTGATATTTTGATCTCGGTATCCAAACACCAAAGGAATAAATACTTCCCTTTGCTTGCTCTTCATTAGAGGGCCGCATTCCCGGAGAAAGAGACCACTTGCGGCCTTTTGGTGGGAGGTTTGCGAAACTACGAGCATGGAGAGGACTGGGAGCTCTGGGGGTGGGGAGGTGATGGTGCGGGGCTGGGGAGAGTGCCCATGGGAAGAGTTCGAAGGTACGTTTGGCTTTTCCTGACGTGACTGCTTTCCTAACTCACACCTGCCTGGCTGTGTAGGCTGAGCTTCTGTATATTGACTCAGGTGTGTGTGGGCGTGTAGGCCAGCTCTGTCAGACCGCAGACACACACCTGTTTCCTAGGAAGGTTCCTTTCATAGCCATGGAGAAGCACGGGAAGTCTTAAAGCCCCCTCCCTCACACACATATACCATCAGGAGTGTTTTTAGCTGAAAGAACATTACCCTTTAAAAAACATGCAGGTGAAGAGACTGCTTATATGTTTGTTACATGCACGGTGGCTGGTCTATCTCTGCTGTATGGCTTTGAAGATGACTTAGAAATCAATTGCCACATTTCCCTCTGTTTGCGTGCCTTTCTGCTTTGCACGTGACTGTGTCTACACGCAGTGAACTTGGTGGAGTGCCTCAGGTCTGCTGACCGCATCCAGTCCAGCGATCCTGCCTTCAGAGTTTTCCGGGACGGCTCCGTCTACTCGGCCGGCTCCGTGGTGGTAGTCGATGGGAGGTCCTTCACCATCTGGCTCTCCGACACGAGGACACAGGCCCAGGAGCAGATCACTGTGGTCCTGCAGCCACAGAAGAAGGTATGGGTGCACTGAGATTCCCACACATGGCTTCCTTTTCATTAAATATACATGGTTTTCAAATTGCAAAGAGAACCAAAGGTTACATAGGATATTTCCTCTCCTTTGCTCTTTCTCCTCCTCCTCCTCCTCCTTCTCCTCTTCCTCCTCCTCCTCCTCCTCCTCCTCCTCCTCCTCCTCCTTCTTCTTCTTCTTCTCCTTCTCCTTCTCCTTCCCCTCCTTCTTCTCCTTCCCCTCCTCCTCCTTCCCCTCCCCCTCCTCCACCTCCTCCTCCTCCTCCACCTCCTCCTCCTCCTCCTCCTCCTCCTCCTCCTCCTCCTCCTCCTCCTCCTCCTCCTCCACCTCCTCCACCTCCTCCTCCTCCTTCTCCTTCTTCTCCTCCTCCTCTTCCTCCCACTCCTCCTCCTGCTGCTCCTCCTTCTTTTACATATTTTTATTGATGTCAGAAAAGAAGGAAAAGGGAGAGAGAGTTAGAAACAACGATGAGGGATAATCATTGACTGGCTGCCTCCTGCACCACCCCCTACTGAAGATCAAACCCACAACCAGGCATGTGCCCTTGACTGGAATCAAACCTGGGACCCTTCAGTCCACAGGCTGATGCTCTATCCACTGAGCCAAACCGGCTAGGGCTGCTCTTTCTTCTAACGTTGTGTTTCCTTTCTCTCTCCCTCTCCCCTTTCCGAGCACTGCTAAAATGGGGGTTCTGCTTTGTTGAATCTATCAATAAATGACCCCTCCCCTGTGAAGACTTCTGCTGCTGCTAAGGCCGGTTAGGGCTGAAGTATATTATTTTTCCTTGCTCTGGTTCACCTAAGAGTTTGAAGTTTTAGCAGAAAGAACAACTAAGAGCTGCATAAGAACTATGGGGAGCCCTAGCCACTTTGGCTCAGTGGATAGAGTGTTGGCCTGTGGATTGAAGGGTCCCAGGTTCCATTCCAGCCAAGGGCACATACCTGGGTTGTGGTCTGGATCTCCAGTAGGGGGCGTGCAGGAGGCAGCAGATCAAAGATTCTCTTTCATCATTGATGTTTCTATCCCTCTCCCTTCCCCTCTAAAATCAATAAAAATATACATATATTAAAAAAAAAGGACTAAGGGGCAGAGATGGTCCCTCAGCTGAGCGGTGGGAGGTCAGCGTTAAGAAGGTATGCACAGGGAAACTCTAGTTTCTGAAACCTGCACCACCTGGATCCACTCTCTCTCCCCCCTCCAAAGGAAGAGCCTTATTGTCTGGTCTGTATGGAAATTTTTGAGCCTGACCCTCCAGGGAGGCATCAGGAGTATGGGCTGTCCGTTATCTTACCCCAAAGTGGGTTGGGATGCTTTTGTTTATGAATTTTCTCTCTACATGCAGCTCCTGAGAAAAAGACACGCTAGAGAAACAGTGCTCCGACGAGCCAAGAGGCGGTGGGCGCCCATCCCCTGCTCCATGCAAGAGAACTCCCTGGGCCCGTTCCCTCTGTTTCTTCAGCAGGTAGGTTTGCATGCCTCTCACTGGGCGTGTTTTAACTCCAAAATCTGTTTTATTCCAATTTAATCATTCTTTAAACATTTTTTTAAAAAAAACAACAGGTTTGATTGAAGATATTCATAAAGCCGTAAGGGTAATAAAAGTGAGTAAAGTGAGAAAAATCACTAAAATCTATACTAATAAAAGCATGATATGCTAATTAGACCAGACAGCTAAACGACCTTCTGGGTATCATTTTGGATGTCCATCTGGACAAAGCCAGGGAGACTAGGGCCGAGGCAGAAGTGGTTAGGGGCTATCAGGCTGGCAGGGGAGTGGTTAGGGGCAATCAAGCAGGCAGAGGCAGTTGGGGCAACCAGGCAGGCAGGTGAGCGGTTAGGGGTGATGAGGCAGGCAGGAGTCTGTTTCTACTGTGTTTGTTAGTTTGTTAAATTCTCCATATGCATGAATGTGTCTTTCTCTGACTGGCCTATTTCACTTAGCATCATAATCTCCAGGTCCATCCACGCCACTGCAGAAGTGAGATTTCCTTCTGTTTTTACGGCTGAGCAGTATTTTATTGTGTCCACGTACTGCAGTGTTTTGTTTTCCCCCAAGAGAGGAAGGGAGAGAGGCTGTTAGCCTCCCACACGCACTTCACAAGGAATCAAACACACCACCAGGGCATGTGTGCTGACAGGGGATCAAACTTGACACCTATCAGTGTCCGGGACTATGAGCCACAGTGCAGCCAGGACGATGGCAGCTTTCTATCCACTCACTGCTAAGTAGCCATGCAGGATACCAGCTCCCTCCGAGAAGCTGTTTCCTCAGCTCCCGCCTCTGCACACACAGCCAGCCCCTGGCCGAGCCTGCTGGCTGGATCTTCAGTTCTATCCAGAGTCTAACACTCGTCACCACCTCGCTGCGGTGCCAGCCCAGCAAACTGTCACTCTCCTCTGAATTACCGCAGCGACTTCCTAAACCAGTGGTTCTCAACCTTCCTAACGCTGCTGCCCTTTAATACAGTCCACCCGTGGTGGTGACCCCCAACCATAACATTATTTTCGTCGCTACTTCATGACATAACTGTGATTTTGCTCCTGTTATGAATTATAATGTAAATATCTTAGGTGGCCCCTGTGAAAGGGGCCTCGGCCCACAGGTGGAGAACCGCTGTCAGGGGTCACGTAAGACCATGGGAAAACACAGATACTTACATTACAATTCATAACAGTAGCAAAATCACAGTTATGAAGCAGCAACGAAAATAAGTTTATGGTTGGGAGTCTCCACCACATGAGGAACTGTATTAAAGGGTCGTGGCATTAGGAAGGCTGAGAACCACTGCTTTAAATGGCCTTCCTGTTTCTTCCCTGTGCATCTATCCAAGTCTAGTTTTAACAATTGTCAAGTATTATCTTTACAAAATGTAAGTCAGATGTCATCTCTTCATCTGACGCCAAGCAAAAGGGCCCCATGACTGCATCCCCCTCCATCTCCTCCTCCTTCACCAGTTTCCCCAGCCTCAGCGCCTTGTTCCTGCTCCTGGCACACCCGCCCTGGTCCCACTGACTTCCTGCTCCCTCCACCAAGAATCTTCCCTGTTTATCCTAGAGCCCATTCTTTCCATCTTTGTCCCTCCCCTCCGCAGAGACATTGCAGGGGGCATCCCCTTCTCTATAGACGAGAGTCCCAGGAGGCCTCACTCTTGCCAACCATCAGCATTACTGTTCTTTTCCTTCTTTGCCAAATCACACAATATAAAGTTATGCCCATTGCGTGTAGTTAGATTTTCTTTGGTTTCTGTTTGTGCTGAACATTGTTTTCGTTAAATTTGAGCCATTAAAAAAACCTTTTGCCAAATGCTTTTTACGCTTTGTGTGTTGATGAAGTGACAAGTGATGGTTTTATTAAAGTTGTCTCTTTAAAATAACAATATAGCCCTGACTGGTTTGGATCAGTGGATAGAGCATCAGCCTGCGGACTGAAGGGTCCCAGGTTTGATTTCGGTCAAGGGCATGGACCTTGGTTGCAGGCACATCACCAGTCGGTGTCTGGGAGGCAGCTGATCGATGTTTCTCTCTCATCGATATTTCTGACTCTCTATCCCTCTCCCTTCCTCTCTGTAAAGAAATCAATAAAAGTATATTACAAATAAAATGAAATAACAATATGAATACATAAGCTGAATTTTTAAAACACGAGCATTTTAACAGAATTTAACTTCTTATGTCTATGTTTTTTCCTTCCAGGTTCAGTCCGATGCAGCCCAGAACTATACTATCTTCTACTCAATCAGTGGACGTGGTGTTGACCAAGAACCGTTAAACTTGTTTTTCATAGAAAAAGACACTGGAAATCTGTTTTGTACTCGGCCGGTGGATCGGGAAGAATATGATGTTTTTGATGTAGGCATTTGATGGGTATATGTGACTTTAAATGACTGAACTATGTTTCATCTGGTACTCTACTCTTTCCTGTATTTTGGCATTCTCTTCTTAGAGGGCATCTGAAGTAAAGGAGATAAATGTGGCAGTACTTTGGAATATTTATACTTTTTATGTCAACTTCTGGTAGTGGTATGGTTTTCTCTCTCCGGGACTTGGCCACGGTCTGTCCTCTTCTGCTCTGATCGCTTCTCTTGTCTTCCTTCCACTTATATGCTCTCTGACCATGTCTGAGTACTAGCTACAAAAGCAAAAGTCAGAGACTAAACTCAAACAAAGTTACTAAGCCAGCGTGCTGACGTGGATGAGCTTACAGTAGCTGGGGAATAACTGAGACCATATTCAGTGTAATGTGGTCAGTGCTGTGGGGTCCTGTGATCATCCATGCGGTGCAGGGTCTATTATTCCCCAAGAAAAAAGGGGTGTTCTTCCTAGAAGAAGGAAGGGATCTGGGTGAACAAATGTGACTGATGTCCACCACATGGCATTTATCAGTTTTTTGGTTAGAAAATTATCAACTCAGCATTGTAGTCACATGCTGAATCAGAATACATTCTATTTGACATTATAATGCTCTTAATTACATAGCAACACAGAAACTGGTAAGTGGATTTTGTTGGAAAAACTCATGTGATCCATGAGGTAAAACAGTGAAAGAGCATGGCTGTGTCAGGGTTGGAAACCACTGCTTTATTTGGGAGAAGTGGGGATTTTTCCCATTCCCGAGTTTGTCTTCTCAGCTTCCTGATGGTGGAGTGAATGCAGACGATAATCCAAGCCTCTTATTCACATCGAACTTCTCAATCGAATACACAGGGTTGCCCACGACTTCCTTGTACTCTGAAACTTTATTTGAAGTGCAGACATTTCTACCAATTGCTGAATAGTCTTTACTCTATTTAGAGTGTTTCTCCGTTTGATACTTGGATGATTAAAAGAGAAATTAAGTGGTTTATTCTTGAAGATATTTGTAAGGCAGGTGGTGGATAGAGCATAGTGTCTCTCTTGCTAGAACCTTATACCAATGGCCTCTGACCTCACTTCTCTCTGTCTCCCAGCTGATTGCCTATGCGTCCACCGCAGACGGGTACTCAGCCGACTTACCTCTCCCGTTGCCCATCCGAGTGGAGGATGAGAATGACAACCACCCCGTTTTCACAGAGCAAGTTTATAGCTTTGAAGTTCCAGAAAGCACTAAACTGGGTAAGATGATATTTTGGGGGAGAAACTTTTTTGTGAATGTTTTCTTTGGCCATTTATATTATCGTATATAATAAAAGGGTAATATGCAAATTGACCAAACAGTGAACGACCGGTCGCTATGACACACACTGACCACCAGGGGGCAGACGCTCAATGCCGGAGCTGTCCCCTGGTGGTCAGTGTGCTCCCACAGGGGGAGTGTCGCAGGAGCCACTAAGCTGGCAGTCAGACATCCCTTAAGAGCTCTGGACAGATGTCGTGCACCGGGCCTCTAGTTCTTTTATGAAATGTATGTTCATTTCCTTTGTTCTTTTCTTTCCTTTGGTGTTTGTATGTTTCCTAATTATTTATCTACTTAAAAGTGTTATTTACATATTAAGAATAGTAACTTGTCACTTTGCGAATATTTTCTGTCAATTGTTTCTTCTCAATTTTACTAACGCTCCTTTAGACAGTAAAATAGTTCAGGTCTTTCATTTAGTTAAATCTACCCGTATTAGACCTAGAATAGCCTTTTCCCTTAAGGCTTTATGGTACATTTCAGAGTAAAATATATTATGTTAAATATGTTTGTGTACATTTTTTGAGATAACGAGTTTTTCATATTTAAGGCCAGTCATCCCGAGATGAGATTGGACCGGTATCTATTCACAGAATACATTTAATCCATCAAACACTAACAGTGAATATCTTAGAGAATAGTAGAGGAGCTTTATGTATTAATATGATACCAACTACTTCTAAAGGCAGATGGCAGTTATTCACGCTATGTACCGTATTTGGTTTTCATACTTTATTTCATCTTATCATTATGGGGGTTTACCAATATTCTCCCCTCCAAGCAGAGGACATGCAGAACAGAATAGGCAATTTGCCTTTCAGCATAACCATTATTGCTTGTCTCATTTTTGGTTCTTATAAGTATATTTCCAGTAGGACATGATCTCACTCATCTGGGGGAAATGGTGAACAACATAAGCTGATGACCAAGAACAGACCCAGAGATGAGGAGCCATGGGTCAGGCTGTCGGACCTCAGAGGGAGAGTGGGGATAAAAGGGAGAGATCAGCCAAAATCAGTTTGGCTCAGTGGTAGAGTGTTGGTCTGCAGACTGAAAGCTCCCGGGTTCGATTCCGGTCAAGGGCATGTACCTTGGTTGTGGGCACATCCCCCGGGGGGGATGTGCAGGGGGCAGCTGGTCGATGTTTCTCTCTCATCGACGTTTACTAGTGGGGGGGTGGGGCATTTTTAGGAAGGGGTTTGGGATGGGAATGGGGAGATGAGGACAAATATGTGATACCTTAATCAACAAAGAAATTTAAACAAAACAAAAAAACAAAACTAAAATCAGCATAGGTATTTTTATTGGGTTTTATTTAGGGAGGTGTTGAAGACAGCCACTGGTGATACAGTTTTTTAAAGCTCTTCTTTCTAATGTTTCTTCTCTTAAAACTACCACCTTCTGACTCCCATCGTTATTGTTAGCACGTGAGAAGGGCAGACACTCCTAAGCGTACTTCACAAGGCTGCAAAGGGAACACTTCTTTGTTTTTTTTACACCAGGCACTTCCGTGGGGCAGGTTTGTGCCACAGACCGCGACGAGCCGGACACGATGCACACGCGCCTCAAGTACAGCGTCCTGTCGCAGACGCCCCGCTCCCCCGGGCTCTTCGCCGTGCACCCCAGCACCGGCGCCCTCACCCTGGTGGCCCAGAATCTGGACCGAGAGGTAGCTTCCTCGCTGTATGGGCGTCTTCCTCCCAGGGCTGGAGGTCCCTCTGCTCCCCCGCCCACTGCCCTTGGCTCTTCCTGAGACTGAGTTCTCATGTTATTATTCTATTTCGGCGTAAGATAATAAGAATTCCTGACTATGTAATCTGGTGTGTATATGACTTCTGTTTCTTGAAGCAAGAAAAGCCATAGGGAATGGAAATACAGATCAACTGGCATTTAGAAGGGGGGGAGGGACAAAACCCATTTCTTATGGAAGTTATTATTATCAGTATTTTTTTTCTTGTGTGTGTCTAGTGGGTTCTAGCTCCATCAAGGACCCAGTTCTTGGAAAGGACAATTCGTTTTGTTTTATTCATGAGGATAGCCCATATCCAGTTAGAGAGATGTCTGTTTCTTTTTTCTTTTTAAAATTTGATTGTTGAAAATGTTATGAGCTTTTTATCTAGAAAGGATTAGTTGAGGTAAGGTTTATTAAAAATATGCAACACTATTTGGATAACAGTAATAGCATATTGTGATATATATAGTATGCTGTATTCAAATGCTTTATGCATAATTTTATTTGATTTTAATAGTTTCCTTGTTTGACTAGACAGGTGTTACATTCAGCCTGTAAGGAGAAATGTGACAGTTGGAAAGATTGTTGATTGAGTTGATTTTGTTAGCCTATATCTAACTAGGCCAACAAAATCATTATTGACGGCGCTGATTAATCAATTTCATATGTAAAGTAGTTTTATTGAAACACTCAAATGCTTCCCACTGCAACTAGAATAACCTAAGTATAAGGATCGATATGAGGGGGAGAGATATTAAAAAGAAGACATCAGCCAAAACCAGTTTTGCTTAGTGGTTTACAGTAGGAATTAATAGTTCATATAGTCCGGCCCTCCAGCTCTCTGAGGGACCGTGATCTGGCCCCCACTTTAAAAAGTTTGAGGACCCCTGGAGAGTGTTGGCCTGTGGACTGAAAGGTCCCAGGTTCGATTCCGGTCAAGGGCATGTACCTTGTTTGGGGGGTGTGCGGGAGGCAGCTAATTAATAATTCTCTCTCATCGATGTTTCTAACTCTCTGTCCCTCTCTCTTTCTCTCTGTAAAAAATCAATAAAATATATTAAAAAAAAAAAAAGACATCAATGTGATATGACGCCAAAAAAAAAAGGGAGGGATAGTGAGAACTTTTAAAAAGAAATCAAAAGTAGAACAGATATTTCATTATTTTTTTAATGCATTTGTGGCATTAGAGACTTTATATAATAAAGCACATAATGGTAATAATAAATGGGAAAATGTGAAGGGAACAATATGAACCTTTTTTTTTTCTGTCTGTTTAATATGTAGAAATAATGTGATAATTAAGTGAAAACAAGGATTTCTCCTCATTGTTTCAGACTGAAAAATGAGACTCAGGAAAGATAATTTAAGGATACAAAGCTTATAAGATACAGCTTTGGGGGTGGGAGGGGAATAGAAGGGTAAACCCAGGTCTGCTTGCCTGATCAGAAAAATCCTCTAACAGAACTTTATGGGGAATAACAGGAAATAAATGAACTAGAGAGGTAAACACACAGAGCCTCTGGGTGGAGCATTTTGGGGTGGGGTGTTGAACAATGTAGAGGGAGATAAGTAAGAGGAATCTGAAAATGAGACAGGGAAATAGCAAAAGAAGAAAACTTAAAACAATCAGTGGCTAAAGAATAGTTAGACAGGAGAGAAAGGCAACTGAGATGGTTGTGTCACAAACTCATGTCTCCTCACCTTCAACACACCAGCTGTGAAATCCATTCCCAGAAGTCTCGGTGATTTCCTAATTGCCAAGTCCAACTTAAGTCTATGTCTGTGGTCAATTCCTGAAACTCCCTTTCCTTGGATTTCTTGTTTTTCTCCTGCTACTTTGGCTTTTTGTGTTTGGTGTCCTTTGCTTAGTCTTCTTCCCCTTTATTTCCTCAGCCCTTGAAATGCTATTGCTCTTTATATTCTCAAATCTCATATTCCACCTCTTCTAGCTATCTATTCTTGCCATAACTTCAACCACTGTCTACACACTGGTGATTCCAGATTGGTCCTGACTGTGATCTCTCCCATGAGTAAGGGCCTCATACCACGGTGGCTTCTGGACCTCTCTCTTTAGATCTCCCAGAGGCATGGAATATCCTGTATATGCCAAAGAAAACTCCTTGCCCCTCCTTGCGAATTTGCTCATCTTCACTTCCTCAGAGACCTGCCTCTTCTCCTGAATTTTATGTTTGGGTTGGTGATACCCATGTCTGCCTATCCATCCAAGTAGGACACCTGTACATCATTGTCAACCCTTCTTTCCCTCTTCACTTGTGTACAGAATCTGCTCTCATTCCGACTCCCACCTACCTTCCCTGTCACCTTTATTCTCTGTCCTCACTGCTCCAGCCTCTGATTAGGACCACACGTGTTAGACTGTTTTAGGAGTTCTTTAACTGGTTTCTTCAGCTTCCAGATCAGCTTACTTGAAATTCTGCTCAACCTTCTTCAAAAATATTCTTTCAACAACTCAAAATGCTCTTAAATTGTGCTACCTCTGTGACTTCAAGACAGCCTTTCTCTTATCACCTGCTATGTAAAGCATAAGTCTGTGGTTACAGCGCTCGGCTCCTTAGAGGGTCTTTAGGACACTAGGCCTTTTACTTTGAGGAAGAAGGGAGCTACTGGAGGGTTTCAAAAATTAAAGCTTAAGTCTAGCCTGGCTGGTATGGCTCAGTGGTTGAGTGTTGACCTATGAACCAGGAAGTCATGGTTCAATTCCTAGTCAGGACACATGCCTGGATTGCTAGGTCAGTCCCCAGTAGGGAGTGTGCTAGAGGCAGCCAATCAATGATTCTCTCTCATCGATGTTTCTATCTCTCTCTCCCTCTCCCTTCCTCTCTGAAATCAATTACAACATATTTTAAAGCATAAATCTAATTTCTTAGTATAACTCTTTGTAATTTAACTTCTGCTTACCTTTTCAGCTTTATCCCTGTCTACCAGATTCTTAGAGTATATGCACATATGGAAATAAAAGCATGAATACACACAAATAGAAGAGTATACAATTAAAATGTCACTTATAGATCTAAACAAAGTTGTAAAAAACTAATTAAATATTTGCTTTGTTTTAAGGTTGTAGACAAGTACGAATTGATAATGAAAGTACAAGACATGGATGGTCAATTTTTTGGATTGGTGGGTACCTCGACTTGCAGTATAACAGTAACAGATTCAAATGACAATCCACCTGTTTTCAGACAAAATGCTGTAAGTATATTTCCAAAATCTATCCCTGTCTATTGGCACTTGTTATTTTATCTGAATTAATAAATATTTATCATGCCTTGAAATGTATATGCTTATTTTTTTAAATAAAATTAAATAGTAGACATATAAATCTATCTTATTTGTTCATAGTATTATTACTTTTTTTAAAATATATTTTATTGATTTTGTACAGAGAGGAAGGGAGAGAGATAGAGAGCCAGAAACATCGATGAGAGAGAGTCATCGATCAGCTGCCTCTTGCACACCCACTACTGGGGATATGCCTGCAACCAAGGTACATGCCCTTGACCGGAATCGAACCCGGGACCCTTCAGTCCCCAAGCCGATGCTCTATCCATTGAGCCAAACCGGTCCCGGCTTGTTCATAGTATTATTTATATTACTGACCTTTTGTTAAAGATCTGTAACATTAGTCTTCATTTGTGATGAAATTCTTTTCATTCAAAAGATGTCTTCCTGAAACAATACTATTTGAGATTCATAGTTTTAAAATAACCTAGGGAAAAATGATAAGAACAAGTGCTTTTGGAGTAGAAGATATATTTTACTTTTTTTGTAAAGGTTTTCTTTTTCTTTTTTTTAAACATATTTTATTGATTTTTTACAGAGAGGAAGGGAGAGGGATAGAGAGTTAGAGACATCGATGAGAAAGAAACATCGATCAGCTGCCTCCTGCACACGCCCTGACTGGGGATGTGCCTATAACCAAGGTGCATGCCCTTGCCCGGAATCGATCCAGGGACCCTTCAGGCCGCAGGCCGAGGCTCCATCCACTGAGCCAAATAGGTTAGGGCATAAAAGTTTTCTTTATTACAATATTTTTAATGAGGCCTCTCCGTTTCAGTATGAAGCATCAGTAGAGGAAAATACATACAACGTGGAAATCTTACGACTGTCCGTGGAAGATAAGGATTTAGTGAACAGTGCCAACTGGAGAGCCAATTTTACCATTTTAAAGGGCAATGAAAACGGGAATTTCAAAATCAGCACAGACAAGGCCACTAATGAAGGCGTTCTCTGTGTTGTCAAGGTACAGTAATAATAGATAACGGACAACTTGGCAAGTTAACAGATTTTAATAAACTAATGGTTTCATCAGCTAAGTAGCTTCAGTTGAGGGAACGTAGTCCCTTTAGTCCTACTGTTCTCCCCGAGTGCCCGCCTTTCTTCTATAATTTATGTGCCAGTTATTAGTCTCCTAACATATGCTTGCACATGCTTACGTGTAAGGATCTCCATACCCGGATGGGCAGCTCATTCCGTATGTGGAGAGCTCCGATTCCTAGAAGTCTTTGCTGGGCCTGCGTTCCTCTCCTCATATCCCACATCTGTGTCCTGCGTTTTGATGCTGACCCTGCGCCGAACAGGCATCATTCTCTTGCGAAGGCTGTTATGCCCACGTGAGACTTACCTTCTCTAAGATGAACATCCCCAGTGCCCTTTAACTGTTCATCCCTTGAAACAAGCGAGCCTTTTATGGTCGGTGAAAGGTACATACGGTAATAATGACCTCTGCCTTTGTAGTAGCTATTCAATATATAATAATAATGAAAATGAAAACATTCAATAAACTATAGGATATTATTAGTACATTTTAAAAGTATTAACATAGCTATAATTTTTCATAGAAAAATGGCTTTCGTCTTTAAAGAAAAAATAACTTTTCTGGAACCGTCGAGCATGAGTCGATACAGGATTTCGCAGAGTCCTGGGGGAGCGTCCCATCTCAGTTTGCTTGTTGGCCTCTGTTTCAGCAGCAGCAGGGCATGTGGGCTTCACTTCATACAGAGGGCATTTCACTTCATACAACACTTCCTAGGGAGTTGTTAGCCTCTCGGTGCAGAATGGAGCTATTTTTGAACAATTTATTTCAATGGATGAAACAGAAAGACACCCCATGGTGGGAGAGAACTCATGCTTTTTTCATCCATCATTGGTTTCATCCCAGCAGATTTCTGGCCTCGCAGAGTTTTAAGCCACTAAGATAATAGCCGTCTGAAGCCTTGAAAAATGACATAAAAGATTCGGAGGCTTTAGTGAGCAGGTGGCCCCAGCTGGACTAACTGCCCCTCCTCCCGGGCAGCTGCTGTTGCCTCAGTTTCCATCTACTTCCCGTCAGCAGGTGCCCCGCCTGTCTGCACGCTCATCCCAGCACACGTAAGGTGTGAGACAGTGTTCATTAGCAACAAACAAACAGATATCAGCTCATTGTCCCTCTTGACTCTCTAGTTTCTGGGATAGATAAAAATCAAAAGCACTTCACAGATTTTAAGATTCTGATATTCTCTTGAATTCTTAGTGGACTCATGATGAGGTTAGTTTCTCAGTCTAATACCTCGGAGTGGGAAAGGTTTGAAACAAAGATAGTACTCTTCTGTTTTGACTTTGTTCCATATTCAGCCAGAATTTTTTTTTTCTTTTTTATTAAATTTATTAGGATGATGTTCGTTGGTTAATAAAATTGTATAGGCTTCATGGGTAATATTGTATGTTTGCTACCCAAGTCAAGTCTCCTTCCATCTGCTCCCTTCTCCTCTGGCAATCACTGTGCTGTGGACCGTGTCTATGAGTTTGTTTGTTTTCCTTAATCTCTTCACCCAGCCTTGCAACCCCCATACCTTCTGACAGCTGACAGTCTGTTCTCTGCACCTATGAGTCTGTTTCTATTATGTTACTTTATTTTGTTTATTAGTTTCCACATATGAGTGAAATCATAGGGTACTTGTCTTTCTCTTGCTGTCAGTCAGGATTATTTTTATAAATTGAAGATTATCAAAGGAAAAGTGTTTCAACTTTTTGTGTAGAATAGTGTGTTAAAGGTTTTGCTTGATTTGTTACCTGAAAGTCAGTTATAGTGAGAGGATTGATTTAAACAATTTTAGAGGCTGGCGAACCAGTTAAGCAGCATAGAGTAGCAGAGCAAGTATAGTGTGGTGATTAAGGAAATGAACCCAAGCCAGACCACCTGGCATCAAACTCCAGTTCAGACGAGACTCTCTGAGCTGTGGGAAAATCAGTTCAACTCCTCTACTTTCTTGCTCTGAAAAAACGGGATAATTATAATAAAGCACCATTAAGCATGTTTTGTTACTCTTACTCAACTTTGTTTACACAGTGAGAATTTCTTGGAGTAAACTACAGACAGTGCCAAAGTACAATTCTCAAACTGTCAAAACATAATTTTCATAAAATTAGTGAGCGTGGGTAAAAAAGCTCTGCTTAGCTTTTAATGAAGGAACCAGCAAAAAGACAGCAGATTCCTAAGAAGAAATGAGATCCAGGATGGGTTTTGAGAAAAGAAGCTGAAAGACAATCGCTCAGTTATACGCCTGATAGAAATGATATTCATGCTTCAAAACACGTATTTGGAATACCTTTTCTATCAGAGAGAAAATACGAGTATTGCATCTTTTCAATTTTGTTTAAGTCAACATCTAATTTTATAAGAACTGTCAAGTGTCTGGGCCTAAGTCAATAGTAAATATTAAGTCAAGCAAAGTTCTATTCTTTAGTCAGATGACTGTTATGCTGGTCTGTCAGTGCACTAAAGCAGGGCCATACGACAGTGTCATTTTTAAAAATTTTTTTGCACTATCTCCCAGTTCAGAATACTATTTTTAGTGAGAACGAAGCATACAAGTATTTAAAGAATTGCTTTTTCATAACCCTAAAGCCCCTGCAGAGACTGTGGGCCGCTCTGGCTAAAGGCCTGGTGTATAACTCCTCCCTCTTCAGCAAAGGGCAGAAGCCAATATTGACCACCTGGAGGCAGGAGAATGTGGGCACTGTTCACGCTGACACAAGTCCCCATGCTGTTGGAGGCGCCAGATGTGTTGCCCACTCTGACTGAGACACGTGTGTTCCTTCCCAAAGCCCCTGGATTACGAAGAAAACCAGAAAGTGGTCCTGGAAATTGGGGTGGCCAACGAAGCCCCTTTCACCAGAGACCTGGCGCTCAGGACGCCCGCGAACAGAGCGGTGGTCACGGTCCACGTGCAGAACCAGGACGAGGGGCCCGAGTGCAAGCCCGCCGCCCAGCACGTGCGGATCCGGGAGAACTCGGCCGTGGGGTCCAGGATGAACGGCTACAAGGCCTACGACCCCGAGACCAGGAGCAGCAGTGGGATAAGGTACAGGGGCATCGGTGACCCCGTCCTGACACGCACTGAAAGCCATGGAGACAGCTTATTCTAATACCTGTTAGCCTGCTATCTGATGACGTTCTCTATTCACAGGTACAAAAAGCTGCATGATCCCAACGGGTGGATCTCCATTGATGAAACTTCGGGGTCCATCCAGACTTCCAAAATTCTGGACAGGGAGGCCGCAGCCCCCAGGAATGAGCTGTACAACGTCACAGTCCTGGCCATAGACCAAGGTAAACAAAGTCTGCCTCCCGTGTTTACTGAGAGAACCCGAGGGCAATGCGCCTTTCCTTGTGCAGCATTGTTCCTGTGATAAGTAGACTGAATGCTCGGAAATCGCCTTAAAGACTCTGTTCCAGCTCCTCTTAACCAATGAGGGGAACGCACTCGGAAACAGGAGCCGTGTCTGGTTAAAAACATGTCCCACGCATGGCAGGCAGTGAGGGCCGACCATGTTAGGGGACACAGGTGCGACTGAGGCCCAGGGCCAAGGAAGAGGCCCCCCAGGCTCTCCTGGAACGCTTCACGTCACTTTTGTGCACATTTCAAATCTATATTTCTTGTTGGAAGTATTACAGATGTCCCGCTTTTTCCCACATTGACCCTTTCTCCCTCCTCCCATCCCTTTCCCAGTCCTCCCCCACTGTTGTCTGTGCCCTTGAACGGTGCATATATGCATATAAGTTCTTTGGTTAATCTCCCCTTCTTCTCCCCTCCCCCCAACCGCCTTCTCTCTGAGAATCCTCAGTTCGTGCCATGCTTCCCTGTCTCTAGATCCATCTTGTTCCTCAGTTAAACTTGTTCATTCGACTCTACATGTGTGAGAGGTCCTGTGATTCTTATCTGACTGGCTTATGTCACATAGCATACTCTCCAGGTCCCCCCATGCTGTCTCAAAGGGTAAGAGATCCTTCTTTAAAAAAAAAAAAAAAAAAGAAAAGAAAAAAGAAAAAGAAAAAGAAAAAGAAAAGAAGGATAGCTGTATAGTATTCCATGTATAAATGTAACTTTAAATTGAGACTCTCAAAAGCCTAGCTGACTTTTAGGTCAAAATGATTCTTCCTTTGAATTCTGCTTTCTAAAGTAACCCGGAACTTATCAACCCTGTTTTATCTTTAAATAATTTGTGATGCTTAAAAAATATCTCAAGGTATAGACACATCTCACCCAAACTGAACCACAATCCCTGGGTGGGAGCCTGGACATCATCTGTTTAAAAACTGCCTCGGTGGTTTTAATGCGTTCTGAGATTGGAATACTTTTTCTGTGGTTATGTCACTTCTCAGGGGGACCCAAGGAAATGGAGTTCAAATTCAGACCTTTATTTATTTTTTTTGTTTGGTAATAACTGTGGTAAAAGTTTATGGGCAGTTGTGTCTGTTATTATCAATAGTAGTACTCATGATGTGCAGGTTTCATTTACCCATATACTAGAGGCCTGGTGCACAAAATTCATGCAAGATAGGCCTTTCTTCCCCAGCTGCCAGCACCCGCTTCCCTCTGGCACCTGGAAGCCGGGCTGCTTCCCTCCTCCGACTGCCCAGGCACCTGGAACCCGGGCTGCTTCCCTCCAGCTGCTGGCAGATACCCAGGACCTGGGCTTCCCTCCGGCCCTGGCTTCACCTGGAAGGACGTCTGGTCTAATTAGCATGTTACCCTTTTATTATATAGGATGTTCTTATTTATCGTTTCTTTTAATAACCAGGAGTTTATTTAAAAACCATCCGATTTAGAATCTACTTGATTTTTTTTTTCCTTAAGAAACTAAAAAAGATGTTAAAAATCACACCAAACCTTTCCCTTCTTCCCAGATAACAAATCGTGCACTGGAACGCTTGTGGTGAGCATCGAAGATGTGAATGACAACGCGCCAGAAATACGTCCAGATTATGTGACAATTTGCAAGCCGAAGATGGGGTACACTGACATTTCAGCTTTCGACGCCGACGAACCTATCCACGGCGCCCCGTTTTACTTCAGCCTGGCAAACCCGACTCCAGAAGTCAACAAAATATGGACCCTCTCCAAAGTTAACGGTATTCACTCACACTCTCACTTAGATGCCCTAGAGCGGTGGAGAACGGGTGTACTTGGTTACTCACATGAAACATGTACCACTGGTTCGTATTAACATATTTTAAAAGCCTAACAGACTTTTGTAGGGGGCCTATATTATATATTGTACACAAAATGAGACATAATTTTCATGGTGGCAAAATCTTTTACAATGAAGACAAAACTGATTTGTTAAAATATCGGGCAGCTTATCACTAACATGTTGCTGCTTTTAAGCAGCTCCTGTGCGGGGAAGAGAGGATGGAAGGGGACAGTGTGGATGTGGTTGGGAGCCAGCTCTGGGAGTGAGGAGTCGGGGTATGGGCCAAGCACTCGTGGTAGTTTGGAAGGGAACATGTTGGGTATGGACAGAAGCCTGGTGCTGGAGCCTCGGGGCAGTGTCTGGGACTGGTTTCTGGGGAGTGTGGTCTGTCTGTGTTTCAGCCATGACTCACTGCCTCTTGGTTGCTAGGTCATGTTCTCTCGCGTACTTGGACTTTCCTGTAGGCTGTTCCTTCTGCCTAGAATACCTCTCTTCCCATATCTTATCTTGATATTAAGTCAAGCTAGTTATCGAGCATCTTCCACCTCGCAGGCACTGTTGCAGACCCTGGGATGTGTGTATAGAGATTAGCAAGGAAGACATGATTCCACACGTCTAAGAAGTCTTTCTGGAAGTAGAAGCAGGGACACTGTGACCTTTTGCTACCTTTTTTACAGTGCTTTTCAGGCGTACTGTCATCTGTTTACGTTTCTCCTGCAATGTACACATGAGTTTCTCAAGACATCCGCCATCTATTTTTGCATTTCAGTACCTAGCCCAGTGCTTAGCAGACAGTCATCATTTAATAAAAGTTTGTTGAGTTCCTAATTCATTGATATATGTGTGTGAGAGAAGGAAAACACTAGGGTGGTAAGGAAATCCGTGCTGCTGGGGTTCAGAAAGCTTTTGTTGGAGAGCTGTGAGAGCGGGCGGAAGGAAGGGCGGATCTGAAAGTGATGAGCCCATGGACCAGGCCAAGGAGAATGGCCTTCACGCTACTTAGTAGTGACCCCAGGTATGCACTGGAGTGTATACAGGCGACACTGTGTCCAGATTTATGTCGGAAACAGGTGACGAGGTGACACTCAGGAGGCAATTTGAAGAGTGCAGAGTGGAGTGGAGAGGAGAGTCCGAGGCTGGTGCGCTCCGGGGGGAGTGAGCAGGACGAGGGGCAGCGGGATGGAAGGGTTTTCCCTCAGGCACGGGGTGCTTCTGACGGGCCACGTGCACCCACGTGGCGACTCACGTTCCTCTCAAAGCTGCAGTGAGGAGGTGCAGCCAACATGTTGCCGATCCCCCAGTTATCACCATGCATGTAGGCACAGCTTAGAAAGCACAGACGACTCCTGTGTGTGTTATGCTCTGTCCGTCCACTCAGTGCGTTGCAAAAACTCAGCAAGGCTGTCATTGCAGTTGAAAATGTGTAGATCTTTTGGTCCATTGGTGATCGGATCATTAAACTAAGGTATCTAGACTGTTGGGGGAAAGATCACAGTTGACATACATGTACTGTTGTGATAGAGAGAGGGCTGTTTTTGTGATATTGATTAGCTTCTGGTATTGAGATTACTTCCAGAGGCAGGGCATGGACCACAAAGGGCCCACTGTGTTTTGAAAAATGTCCTTGTAATGAACAGGTAGGTACGAGGAGGTAAATGGACACGAAGATGTGAGCTTAAAACATCCCTTGTTTGTGACTGTGTGTGTTAATGTTCTATGAGTGTCATACACTGGCACTACAGAAAGACGCTTGAAATGTACGTTAAAAGTCAAGAGGGAAGGGTGGGTGAGGAGCAGTGGGAAGAGATTAACCAAATAACCCATGCACACAGACGATAGTGAAGTGAAGGCGGGGGTGGGGGTGGGGGGAGGCTGGTACAAGGTGGAGGGGATCAGTGGGGGAAAAGGGGACAACTGTAATACTTTAAACAGTACTGATAATTTTTTTAAAAAGCCAATCTAGCATTATTAGTTTGTAAAAAAGAGAATAAATAAGGAACTATGAAGTATTGTTGAAATGCAACTGGGTCACTAATGCCAAATTCTTTCCTTAAGCTTCTCTCTAAACAGTTACAATGAGCAACATATGTGCAGTAAGGTTAGTGCTTGGAAAAGTTGAAGATAGCCATCCATTTTTATTTATATTTACTAGAGGCCTGGTGCATGAAATTCGTGCATGGGGGATGGGGGAAGGTTGTCCCTCAGCCCAGCCTGCACCCTCTCCAATCTGGGACCCCTCGAGGGATGTCCAACTGCCCCGTTAGGCCCTCTCACAATCCAGGACTGCTGGCTCCCAACTGCTCGCCTGCCTGCCTTTCTGATTGCCCCTAACCACTTCTGCCTGCCAGCCTGATCACCCCTACCCACTCCCCTGCCAGCCTGATCGATGCCTAACTGCTCCCTGCCAGCCTGTTTTCCCCTAACTGCCCTCCTCCCCCAACTGCTTTCCCCTGCAGGCCTGGATCCCCCGTAACTGCCCTTGCCTGTAGGCCCGGTCACCCCCAACTTCCCTTCTATGCCAGCCTGGTCACCCCTAACTGCCCTCCCCTGCAGTCCTGGTCCCTCCCAACTGCCCTCCCCTGCTGGCCATCTTGTGGTGGCCATCTTGTGTTCACATGGAGGCAGCCATCTTTGGCCACATGGGAGCAGCCATCTTGTGTGTTGGAGTGATGGTCAATCTGCATATTACCCTTTTATTAGATAGGATGTGGCAGATAGCTCCTTACAAACAGGCGTGGTGAGACACATGTTCGTTACCTTGTAAATCTCTCATTGCAGATACAGCTGCCCGTCTTTCCTATCAGAAGAATGCTGAGGTGAAGGAATATTATATCCCCGTGATGGTGAGAGACAGAGCAGGGCAGTCTGCCACCAAAACCCTGCGAGTGAACCTGTGCGACTGCACGCACCCCAGCCAGTGTCAGATGACGGCGAGGAGCGCGGGGGCGTCTCTGGGGAAGTGGGCCATTCTGGCCATTCTGCTGGGCCTGGCGCTGCTTTCTTGTAAGTCCCCTTCCTCACCGAAACCTTAAGTACGTAGTGAACATCCGAGTGTGGGAGGAGGTCTTCAAAGAGCTATCTTGTCCAACCATCCCTCAGGTGCGAGTCCCCTTCACAAATTCCTCTCCTTTATTATCCCAGTTCTGATGGGCTTGTTCTGTGAGAGGAGCAGGATCCATTTTGAGATGAAAGATTGCAGTTTTGGGTAGAACTCTCTTTTTTTAACATACTTTCAGAGAGGAAGGAAAAGGGAGAGAGAGAGAGAAACATTTATGATGAGAGAGAATCAGTGATTGGTTGCCTCCTGCACGCCACATACTAGGGATCAAGCCCACAACTCAGGCATGCGCCCTGATCAGGAACTGAACCAGGGCCTCCTAGTTCCTAGGTCGATGCCCAACCACTGAGTCACACTGGCCTGAAAGAACTCCTTTTTTTTTTAAATGTTAATTTTCACCTGAGGATATTTTCCCCCCACATATTTTTAGAGAGAGTGAAAGGGAGGGAGGGAAGGAGAGAAAAACAAATGTGAGAGAGACACATTGATTTATTGCCTCCTGCATGAGCCCCCACTGGGCCAGGGATCGAACCTGCAACCCAGGTACCTGCCCTCGACCAGGAATCAAACTCAAGACCTTTTGGTGTGTGTGGCTGTCGCTGTATCCACTGATCCACACCAGCCAAAGCTTGGACAGAACTCTTGAACCTGCCTCAGATGGTGCTACGTCTGCCAATGTGGAATTTTATTTCCTGATCCTGGTTGGATCCGATTCATTAACAGCAGCAAAATCACAGTTATGAAGCAACAACGAGAATAATTTTATGGTTGGGGGTCACCACACCATGAGGAGCTGTATTAAAGGGCTGCGGCATTAGGGAGGTTGAGAACCACTGACTTAGAAGGTCAAGGTGATTCAGGGGACACCCTGGTTAGCGCCTGAATTTGTCTCCTGTGCGCCGAGGAGAGAAGGTAAACAAGAGATGGGTGTTTAATTCTATGGATGTTCAACTTTCCGTACCCCCGTTTCTCTCGCACGCAGCCGTGCTGCTGACGTTAGTGTGCGGGGTCGTCGGGGCCAGGAAGAAGAAAGGTTTCCCTGAGGACCTGGCACAGCAAAACCTAATTATATCCAACACCGAGGCTCCTGGCGATGACAAGGTGGTAAGTCATCTTACGTGAACGTTTACCTCCCAGCATCTCCCGTAACCTCTTAGCTTGTCCTCATGAAGGTAAAGTTATTTGGACATCAGGAAGCTTAGGGATGGTTCTCAGTGGGTAAGGTTTTGCAGGCATGAGAGTTCACATAACAAGTATATCCTGGCAGTATTCCAACATGCATGTGGTGGCGTTTACGTCCCTGGCTAGACCAGATGCGTTGTTTCAGTAGTCTTTCTCCCACTCTCTCCTGTTGCCACTTAAAACTTGTTTTTTGGGGTGGTACGTTTATTGTAACAACAGTCTGTTTGACTGCTCTCTGCAATGTATATTTCCAGAGATTATTTTTTTCTTTGACTATTTATAATAGGAAAAATCACTTGCTAAAAACTCTGAAGATAAATGAAGAAAATGTCCCAGTGTGTGTGTGTGTGTGTGTGGTGTGTGTGTGTGTGTATGGTGTGTGTGTGTGTGGTGTGTGTGTGTGTGTGGTGTGTGTGTGTGTGGTGTGTGTGTGGTGTGTGTGTGTGTGTGTGTGTGGTGTGTGTGTGTGTGTGTGGTGTGTGTGTGTGTGTGTGTGGTGTGTGTGTGTGTGGTGTGTGTGTGTGTGTGTGTGGTGTGTGTGTGTGTGTGTGGTGTGGTGTGTGTGTGTGTGTGTGTGTGTGTGTGTGTGTGGTGTGTGTGGTGTGTGTGTGTGGTGTGTGTGTGTGGTGTGTGTGTGTGTGTGTGGTGTGTGTGTGTGTTGTATGTGGTGTGTGTGGTATGTGGTGTGTGTGGTATGTGGTGTGTGTGTGTGGTATGTGGTGTGTATGTGTGTGTGTGTGTGTGTGTGTGGTGTGTGGTATGTGGTGTGTGTGGTATGTGGTGTGTGTGTGGTGTGTGTGTGGTATGTGGTGTGTATGTGTGTGTGTGTGGTGTGTGTGTGTGTGGTGTGTGTGTGTGTGTGGTATGTGGTGTGTGTGTGTGGTGTGTGTGTGTGTGTGTGGTATGTGGTGTGTGTGTGTGGTGTGTGTGTGTGTGGTGTGTGTGTGTGTGTGTGTGTGTGTGTGTGGTGTGTGTGTGGTGTGTGTGTGTGGTATGTGGTGTGTGTGTGTGTGTGTGTGTGTGTGTGTGTGTGTGTGTGTTGGAAGATGGGGCTGGGAGTTGGAAGATGGGGTGGGACTGGGAAGGTAAATCTGGAGTCTCTGACACATTGAAGGGTCTGTGGTTTCCCGGGAGAGGAAACTGGGAAGCACCTGGAGGGGGTGGCAGGAACAGAGTAGAGAGAATGTACAACGGCACTGGGCCCAGCTTCCATGTTAGTTTATTTTCAGTTCTCCTCTCATTCGCTTAGAGATATGATTGATGAGCATGTTTTTATAGTGACAATATTATACTACCAACATTTGAAAGTCAGGATGTTTTAGGTAATAGAAATGTACTGTAGCAGCACCTCGGAAAAAATATAGACTAGCAGTGCCACCAAATGGCTACTTCTCAGTTCTCTTTCTCCATCTTTTCCTAAGGCCGTGAGAGAGTAGGTGTGACTTTTATAGAACCAGTTCAGGTTCAGTAACTCATCTGAACTTGAAAATCCTCCATTTTAGTCAGAGACTCTGCATATTACATGTAGAAAGCTAGATGGCTGAGAAGACGGCATGAACTTCTCACCTGTGTTGAACTTCTCTCATTCCCTCTGTATCTCTCTCTCTCTCTCTTTTTTTTTTTTTTAAACTGGACTCGATTTCCCTATGACATTACCTCCTATTCCCTCAGCTCTCCGTGGAAATTCTCTTGGTAAAGATCACCGGTGGTCACTTTTTTTTTTTTTTTTTTTTACTAGAATTCCTTGGTGCTAACTCAATTTGACAAGTTCTCATCTTACTTTGAGTTCTTTTTCCTACTTTGATCAATGGCCTCTTTACCACACTCCTTTGCATGGCTTGAGTCATGCCTCCTTGGGTCCCTCTATTGGCGATTCCGGATGGATTGTCACAGCTCTAATGCCTGTATGCACCCCTTGGAATGGGCTTCGCTTGTGGTTTTATTCCCGGCCCTCTTGTCGTTTAGTCTACAGTCTTCTCTGGCTGATGGCATTTATTCCTGGGCCTTCAACCACCACTGTAGGGGGAAGGACTCCCCGAATTCTACCTCCAGTTCAGATGTCACACCTGAGCTCCAGATCCCCACATTTACGTACGCATCTTGGACGTCCCACAAGTTTACCAAGTCCAAAGTGGAATGGCTTACACCCATCTCCCCACAGCACCTCCTTCTTCCCTGTTTCCAGGTGAATTGTACCATCAGGCTAGTTGCACAGCTGAGCACTTAGCAGTTATTCCTGACCCTTTGCCACCGCCCCCATCTAACCACCACTGAGCTCTCCATGATGTTCGTCAACTTCTTTTATCTTTAATTTTTAAATATATTTTTCTCTGTTGATAGTATCATAGATATCTCCCATCCCCCCTCTTTACCTCCCAACCCGGAGACTCACACACCCGGGCCTTCACTACCCTCTTTCCTCAACTTCTTTTACTCACCCCTGCTTCTATTCTGGCGTAGGTCCTTATCATTTCCCACCTAGAATAATCCGTTAGCCTTCCTGATCTCCAGGACGCTAAACTCGACTTTCTTATTTGTCTTTCACATGATTGTCTAGAATGATTAAAAAAAATATGCTTCTCCCAGTTATGGAAGCCCTTCTTTGAGTCCTTGTAGGCTCAGGATCATCTACATGTTTCTGGCTGGCATGGAGGTCTTCATGCCCTCTGGCCTTTCATGGCCTTCCAGTTTTCTCTCTCCCTGTCTGAACTCTGTGTGGAAGACAGTCTCAACAGGCTGAAGGCGAGAACCCCCAAAGCATCCTTTGCTCTGGAGTCTAGGGCCCGGACCCTCCTGCCGGTGGCCATTCTCGCTCCCATTCCCAGTGAGAGTCCTTCAGCTCGGTTCTCCAGGCTGCTGCAGCAAACCTCTCTGGATTTGCACTCTGATGGTCCTTCTCTGTGCTCCTGTAGCATTCTGTGTTCACCCCTCTGTCAGAATAGTCACATTCCTCAAGTCATCATCTATGTCTGTCTTACTGGAGTAAGGACTTCTCGGAGCCACTGAACGCCATGGTCGTCTTTGCTTCTCTAGACTGAACACATCATTGGAAAGTGATAGGTGTCTTAATGAATGAATAAATGACGGAATGCGTGAATTAAAGGTTGAGTAAATGTTCTTTCTCCCTTGCCTTCTGGTGACTTGACTGGGAACCCATGTTCTCCCGAGATGAATGGTCTCATTTCATTTCATTTCATTTCATTTCATTTCATTTCATTTCATTTCATTTCATTTCATTTCAGTGTTCTGCCAATGGGTTTATGACCCAGACAGTCAACAACTCCAACCACGGCTTCTGTGGCACCATGGGACCGGGCATGAAAAACGGGGGGCTGGAAAGCATCGAGATGGTGAAAGGCGGACACCATACCCTGGACTCCTACCGCAGCCACCACCACACGCTGGACTCCCGGGTAGGACACCCGGACATGGACACCTCCAGATACACGTACTCCGAGTGGCACAGCTTCACGCAGCCCCGCCTGCGCGAGGTGAGCTTCCCTGGGCGACGCCCGCTGTTAAATGTCTGAGAGGAGAACAATAGGAACTTGAGATGAACATGTACACTGAGTGGCAAGATTGTTACGATCTCTGAATGCATAATTATCTGGCCACTCAGAGTGTGTGTGTGTGTGTGTGTGTGTGTGCATGAATTTGTGCATGGGTGGGATCTGGCCAGCTTGGCCAGGGGGAGGGGACATGGGTGGTTGGCCAGCCTGCCTGCTGGCCAAAATGATCGAGGGGAAAACTTGCATATTAGCCTTTTATTATATAGGATATACACTGAGTGGCCTGGGGATTATGCGTTCAGAGATCATCATAATCTGGCCACTCAGTGTATTTTTTAAGAAACCACTTCACCATATTCTTCATGGTTTCCTCTTTCCTTCTCACTCTCTAGTTCTATTCCCCTGCTCTTCAATTATGTTACATTATTTAATATAAAAGGGATTTTACTTCATCCTTCATATTCTCTTAATTTCTAAAATCTCATGACCCCTGCAGGTTTTTCATATCCCTCCCTGATGTTTCAATTTAGTTTTAGGTGAGTGTTTACCTCACAAGCTCTTTCAATAGAAAAAAAAATCTCTCATTTCTCACAATCACAAAACTCCCCAAATCAAATCTCCACTTCTCTGTGGAAACCAAGCATCTGTACACAATTCTAGTATCCATGTGGGACAATACAATCTGTCTGAATGGTTTTTAATGTACAAAGCCCCACGCAAGTGTAACGTGTGTCATTGAGAGATGACATAAGGGATTTTCAATCCCAGTGGCACCTTCGAATTCCCGTGGAGCTTTTAAAGAATGACGCTTGGCCTGGAAGATTCTAATGTTTTGGCTTGGCATTTTTGCCCCCCTCCCCCGTCCCTGCCAGAGCTCCTCAGGGGGCTCCCAGAGCAGCCCAGGGGGAGAAGCACTGGGCTGGCTGCTCCCTCGGACTGAGCTTCCACATCTTTGAGGAGAGGGTACCAGGGCCCTGAACACCAACACTGGGCTGGAAAGCCCTTCGTGCTTTGAGGGAAGGCACATGGGCCACGGTCTGTGATACAGCTGTAGCTTATCATATGTCCGTAGCATGTTTTTGTGTTGTTTTTTCCCCATGAAATCCAAGTGTTAATCTTATCCCCATTTCTAGAAGGTCAGTTTCATGTACTATTGGGGTGGGGAGAGGTGAAGCTTAAGAAGCATTCGTAGTGTGACCTCAGGTAATGGATGGGGGGCTGCAGGGTCACAAAGGAAGACGCTGATTACACAAGATAGGACAACGAGCTCGGGTTCGAGAGGGCAGCACAGGCGAGGAGGGGGCAGGCGCAGGAGTGTGGCTGGCCAGCAGGCAGGCCAGGGAGATGGGGAGGAAACCTTGGCTCCATCCCCAGGCCAGGGTTTTGCAATGTGAGTGACGCTATTTTAAACTTTATTGAAATGTTTTGTGCATTTCTCTTTTGTCTTGTTTGGACCATCTTGTAAACTTGATTTTGAAGCCAATCAGGTTATGCTTACCTACTTTTTTTCTTTTCTTTTAATGTTGAAAGTATTACATATGTCCCTCTTCTCCCTCCCCCCCTCCCCATAGACCACTTCTAACCTACTTTCTAACTGCACATAGTACATAGCGATTTTAATTAGCATCTATTGTTTGTTTACTATGTGCTGGGCAGAAAAAGAATATTTTTTATATTTTTGCTTTTTTTTAAAATCACCATTTATCCCTCCTATACCCTCTTCCACCTCCACCACCTTCTTCCCCCAGCAATCTCCACACTGCTGTCTGTGTCCTTCAGTTCTCTCGCTCTCTCTTTTTATTTTTCTCAATCCTCCCCCCCGCCCCCAAACACTCCCACCAGCGCTGTCTACCCACACTCTCTCTGTTGGCATGCACTCCTCCTTCGGCATTTAAAACCGGCCTCGTGAGGCAGCCACTGGCTAGTTCAGACTGGAGAAGAGGGAGACAGCACGATTCCCTCCTGGTTGGTAAGGCCAGAGGCGGGACTCCAACCAACCAGGCCTGTCTGGCCACTCAAGCTCCAGTGCCTACCCACCTGCGTGGGGTCCCGTTCTGCGGACTGGCCCGGCCTCAGCTATGCACTGTGGGGTGAGCATGGAAGGGCCGTGTAAATGTACTTATGTATGACATTTATGTACATCGTTTTACATGCGTGCGGGCTATCAGAAATGTGAACTGTGCTGACTTTCTGGTGTGGCTGTGACACAGACCAATCATGTGCATTTTTTGTGTGTAGGACTCCATTAGAGGACACACTGGTTAAAAATTAAACCTAAAAGGTAAATAACAACTATATTTCCTGTTTCTATGCTGGTGTGCGTAAAGCAGTAATGCAACGGCTTCGCTTTGCTCTGCAGAAGCTGCACCTGTACAACCAGAACGAAGACCACCTCTCCTCCCAGGACTACGTGCTCAGCTACCACTACGAGGGCCGGGGGTCCCCGGGGGGCTCGGTGGGCTGCTGCAGCGACAAGCAGGACGAGGAGGGCCTGGACTTCCTCAACCAGCTGGGGTCTAAGTTCACCGCCTTGGCCGAGGCGTGCACCAAGAGATAAACGTGACAGCGCACCCACCATTCCCGGGTTTGGCCTGGCATTCTGGAGGTTTCCAAAAGGGATACTGTCAAGTTCATTTTCAGGGTCTAAATATTCCCATATGACTGTATATGACTTTTTCTAAAATTTGAATTATGCTAATTGCCCATTCGTACTTTTCAAGCAAGTTACTGCGTATCCTTTCCCTCAGGTTCACATGTGAAAACCGATTTCACTTTCTTGAGAGCTGAGTCAATAGCCAATGAGCAACTCTTGTGCGAAAGCGTTGGAATCGGAGTCCATACAGGATCTGCTCTCCTTCACAGAAGTTATCCCAATGAGTATGTTGGGTAAATATTAGTCTGACAGTAGCTAAGCGGTGTTTGGTTGAATATGGCAGAGCTGAAATTCTGATGTTCCAAATTAGATTTCAGTGGGATAGGGTTATTTCAAACACGATGGCAAATTTGTTGGATTTTTATTTTTTTATTTTTATATTTTTAGCTCTAAAAGGCAGTAGTACCTAGTCAGTAGCCCCTACAATTTCTGGAATTCTGTTTTCTTCCGGTTAGCAACAGGATAATGAAGAGCAGTTTTATCTATTCGGTTGCCCTAATAAAGGTCTCAAAATACAGAGCCATAACTTTCAACTGCCCTAAAAAAGTGTGCACCAAAAACTTGTGATTTTATGCTTTCGCACATGTGTTTTTGTGTTTATAAAGGATTATTCTGAGGAATAAGTTTCCTCACTCTCAAGAAACAAAATTATATTCACTATATACAGTGTTATTGCCAGTATTGTAATGAATTTAAAATACTAAAAATCTTTCATTCAGATCATAATCCCAAATCTTAACTTTTTTTTTTCTTTCTGAGATTCAGGACTACTACTAAAAACTTGCCATATTGGGAAAGTGTTGCTTTTCTTCTCTTGAGCGTTGTACTTTTATATTTTCCTGTGCGACTTTAGCACATATGGCTCCTATGTCCTCTGTGGAAGTCATTTGAAATCATTATGCTTCGATGGATTGTGGGTAATGCCTTGTAATCTGAAAAAAAAAAAGAAAAAGAAAAAAAAAGACACCTCTCATAGTGATAAGTAGCAATGAGAACTAAACATGCATTTTCATTCAGTGCCATTTTCAAATAGAGCATATTACTCCATTTTAAGGCAGGTAGATATTACAAAATGTCAAGAATCAGAAGAATAGAGGAAAACTTAACCCCTAGGTGGAATTTAATGTCCTTTAAGATGTTTAATGTAAGACTTCCTAGCTTTGTGTTTGGGATACTTCAAGACAGTGACATTCCAAACGCCAAATGGTGAATACATAATTCATGCCAAATCTAATCACAGTGATGTATACTTGCTTCAAGTGACAATTTAAAAACTGAACTAGAAATATGGAGCAAAAGTAGTTTATAGTTGTAATGCAAATAAATACCATAGTAATTAGAAAATAATACCAATACAAGAATGAGCTGTGCATTTCACATACAACTATAAACTTTTATTTACTATCACCAACAGAAGGACATTTTGGAAGAAAAATAAACTTAACCTTACAAATTTTGCAGCTATGAATTGGGACCTATTCTCCCCGCCTCCCCCCTCCCCAAATTCTTCCTTAGACTGTGGGGCAGGAAGACTGAGTGAGCCCATGAAGTGGCAGTATGCTATAGGAATGTCATTTGAACTAACCATACATGTATGTGTGTGTGTATATGGGGACTATCATTTACATGTAGTATTCTTTCCTTATATGTGTAAGTTGGAAATTACGCTGTTTTAGTATTAAAAAAAATATCCTTTTAAGGCTTTCATTTTTTCAGCTCTTAAATTTTTAATGTAAATGGACAGATTGTTTTTTTCTTATTTTTACAAAGAAGCAGTTAACTGCCTGTATAAAATGCAGTGGTGTTTGCTATTAAAATAGTTACTTTACTTTTAAAGAAACATGGCAGGTTAAAAAAGCAAAAATTGGATGTGTGAAGTAATATTTACAAATAAAGGATGTAATAAAACAATGCTAACTTAATTTCTTGTCTGCTGTTTTCAGAAATTAAGTTATTCATGGTAAATATGTTATAGAATTGTGCTTAAAGCTGGCATGGAAAGAGAGATTCTCAGTAATGCCTTTATTGTATTACTGGAGAATATTTTAGAGAATGCGTAATTATCAAATTATCAATGCTATTAATATATAGTATGCTATTTGGGGAAGATTATCATTTGGGACAAATGATTATCATATCTATATCTATCAGTCTATCATCTATATATCTGTCTAGTTATCTAGCAATTGATTTTGAGTAAAGAAGGTTCGAGGGCAGTTGTCATTTCAGAGTGCAACAAGCAATATTCCAACCTTTATTCTGCCACTTATGGTACATATAACTTCCCAGCTTAGTTACAACTGAATTATGGTGCAGTGCACCTCACAGCGAATCATTCCCCAGATTTGTGTGTGCCTGTGCATGTGTGTGTGTGTGTGTGTGTGTGTGTATGAGAGAGAGAGAGAGAGAGAGAGAGAGAGAGAGAGAGAGAGAGAGAGATTGTGTGTGTGTAAGCACACTTCCTGGCAAATGTAGGGTTGACCACGTCAAAAATTTATGAGTTGTATCAATAGCTTTAAATTCTAGTATAATTTGAACTTCAATTTTAGGAACTTTTATTGTGATCATTATTTTTGTGTGTAAGGATTTGGCTTCAAGAATGTAAAATTCAGGTGTGTGTGAGAGTGTGAGTGTGTGTGTGTGTGAGTTTGTGAGTGTGAGTGTGAGAGTGTGTGTGTGTGTGTGTGAGTTTGTGAGTGTGTGTGTGAGAGTGTGTGTGTGTGTGTGAGTTTGTGAGTGTGAGTGTGAGAGTGTGTGTGTGTGAGTGTGAGTGTGAGTGTGTGTGTGAGAGTGTGTGTGTGTGTGTGTGTGTGAGTTTGTGAGTGTGGGTGTGAGAGTGTGTGTGTGTGAGTGTGAGTGTGAGTGTGAGTGTGTGTGTGCATGTGTGTGAAAATCAAGTGCAAGAAAGCAAAAATAAATCTGATGATTGTGCCGCACTAGCACAGCCAGGTTTGGTGATCCTGAGAGGGGTGGTGAAGGATTAAGGACAAACAGACAAGAGGAGAAAGCTGGAGACAGGTGGGACACTGCTCTCTGATGGAGAGACTGTATCATGACTTGCAAGCTCAGTCTTTATTTTATACCAGATTCCATGAGGCAAAGTAAGGACGTGGTTACAACATTCTCATGGGTTTCAAATCTACTCAATTACACACACCTGACCAAGCTTTTTTTACTTGCTGCACCTCCCACGGCCCGTATCACTTAGCTACGTGAGACCACACGTTCGGACCATAGGATCAGGATTACAGCCATAGCCTTTGGCTATAATTGTGCTGGGTGGGCTTTGCACGTGGCTTTGCCAGGAGAGGACCATGCCCTCTAGGATGGGGTTGCCGGGGCCGGGGGAGAAGTGGGGACTCTCAGTCACATGAGATGAGAAACTCTAGGGCTCTCCTGGGCAGCACTGTGCTGGAGGCGGCACCACTCTTCGCACACTTGGCCGTCAGGGGCGCTCTCCTGTGATGTGTGCTACACACTGGAACCAAGGAGACACACCTCTTCCATCCGGGACACACTGGCTGCTGTTGTTATCGGGGAGGGAGGCTGCTTGCATGCTCAGGTGGGAGAGGCTGGCGCTGGGCCTGTGCCTCGGGCTCCTCGCGTCCCTGGCTGCTTGTCAGGCATCTGAGGACAGTGCGGGACACACCCTGCAGGCCCAGCCCCTCCCGGTGCTGGCAGTGCCAGCCGGGCCTGCACAGACACGTGGGCAGCCCGGGAAGCGTGCTGTTGTTACAGGACTCCAAAGGCTGAGGCCCTTGGAAAGCCACGCTGAGAACCGCCGAGTAAAGGCTGGCAGGAGGCCTGTGACCCCCCACCCCCCGCAGGGGGTCATTGCCTCCCAGCACAGCGGCCTCAGTGGGAGGAACAGGTGCCTGTGCATCTGGACAGCCAGCGGGATTCCCTTACTCCAGGGGAAGCTCAGAGAGTAATAGCGTTTTTTTCTGGGCATTTGTTACTCAATTCCCACTTAATTTTTTTATTTTATTGATTTTATCCCTTCCTTTTCAAAATATAGCCAGGTAAGCACAGGCTGTGTGATATCGGCGTGCGTACAGTTGTTCTGTGGAAAGGCAGATTGTATTTTTACCTTCGTGTGTCACTGCCCGCTGAGAAGCCAGTGGGAGCCTGTGGGGTTACACTGCATCACTGGCCATGGTCTCGAGCTCAGACATCGGCATACGGCTCACGGACAATGCGAGTTTCTATGACATGATGTGACCGGTCCGCAGGTGACGTGCCATTTCTCAGATTCCTAAGACATTGACATGTGTGGGTTGTTTTTAAAAAATATATTTTTATTGATTTCAGAGAGAAAGGAAAGAGAGAGAGAGAGAGAGAGAGAGAGAGAGAGAGAGAGAGAGGCATCAACGAGAGAGGATCATTGATCAGCTGCCTCCTGCCCTCCCCTTACTGGGGATTGAGCCCATAACCCAGGTATGAGCCTTTGACCAGAATTGAGAACCTGGAATCCTTCAGTCCATAGGCCTATGTTCTATCCATTGAGCCAATCCAGCTAGGGCTGGGTTTTATTCTTAATGTGAATCATCGTAGACAAACTAAAGCAGATCCGGTATAATGGTAATAAGGTTATTTGGGGAAATGCAAGAAAATGGCTTTAGAGTATTTGCCCTAGAAGGAGAGAAAACAAAGTAGAAAATTTTATGAGAAACAAATTGGCTTAGTCACATTTTTAGTCTGTGATTCTAACTTGGGAAAGCTGGTATACCTGATCCACAATGAGAATGGTGTCTCAGAATTCAATATGAATAGTTTCGTCAGTTTAATTTTCAGTTCACTTGATTCTTCAAAAGGAAGCCTCACTCACCTCACCTTCCTGGTCAGAAAGATTATACAGGGGTGGGCAAAGGGAGTTCCCAGTTGTAATACAAGCAAATAATACAATAACCCTATATAATAAAAGTGTAGCATGCAAATTGTCCCCTCAACTGGGAGTTGTTCGGGAGTTCAACCAGGGGGTGGGGCCAGCCGGGAGAAGGAAGGGAGTACCTGGGAGCAGGCAGCTACTAGGGACCCTACCAGTGCACAAATTTCATGCACTGGGCCTCTAGTTAATAAGTAATACAAGATTAAACTCTGTGTTTCATGTACTCACAACTATATACCTGCTTTGCCAACCCCGTTTGTCATTTAGAAGAAATTTTTTCATTTCTTTCCCCTCTTCTTTCTTCAATGTCTTCTTCTTCTAAATGTCCTTCCCCTCCTCAGTTTCTTCCTTTCCCCCATCTCTCCTTCTCTGTCTTCCATTCTGTCTTATTCCAGTGGATTCCTGATTTGGAACTGAGTTTGCCTCTCAGCTTTGCCACTTGCAGATGCCCTCCTTTGCATGCCAGCATAGACACCCCTGGGAGGGGTTTTGGAATACCACAAAGGCACGATAAAAGGCATGAACCAGCATGAGCTTCCAGCTACCAATATCAGGCTCAGCATCCAGTTCCTCTCCCAACACAGGGAATCTCACTTGTGTCCTAACAAGCCTTCCCAGCTGGGAGACAGAGCAGGTTCAGATCTGTGTGTGCCCTCCAGCCAGCACCACTGCCTCTGAATACCTGGTCTCCACCCTGAATCATCCTCTGAAAAACAGAGCCGGCATGTCCTTGCAGTTTTCTCTCTTGACTTGGGCCCTCTGTACTCCACAGTCCAGGTTTTCTATTCATCTCTGTACCAACAGCCTTACCCTTTTACATACGGGTAAGAAAGGGGAAAGGCATAAATGTTTATGCTCCAGGGTCTATCAGATAAATATATAGAATTATCCTCTTCATTGATTAAATTTGACAATTTATTTAACTTTTATTATAAAACTAGAGGCTCAATGAACAAAATTTGTGCAAAGAGCTGGCTCCCCCTCCCCCGACTGCCACAGCAGCTGCCTCTGCGGCTGCCAGGGCCTCTGCCTCCACCCCCACCATGGTGGCTTCATCCGGAAGGACACCTGGAAGGATGCCTGGTCTAATTAGCATATTATACTTTTATTATTATGGATAAAAATAATCTCCAACAGGTTTACTGACATCCACTATGGATGGACTTAGAGGGTATTGTGCTAAGTGGAATAAGTTAGTCAGAGAGAGGAAAATGCCACATGATTTCACTTACATGTGGAATCTAAAGAACAAAAATAAATGAACAAACAGAATTGAAACAGGCTCATAGAAACAGAGAGTGGACTGATGGCTGCCAGAGGGAAGGGGGTTGGAAGGATGGGTCAAAGGGGAAAAAGATTAAAAAGTATGAATTGGTAGTTACAAAACAGTCACAGGGCTATAAAACAGCAGAGGGAATACAGCCCATGCTATTGCAAAAACTACTGTGCCAGGTGGATATTGGAAATATTGATGGGAACACTTCGTAAAGTCTATGATTATTTACCCACTGTGCTGTACACCAGAAACTAATACAAAATAGTATTGAATGTACATTGTAATGAAAACACACAATCTAAAGGAAAAAGAGCAGAGGACACATCCAATTGTTTTACTCCAGGGCAAACTTCACTTTTGAGTTTGTTTATGTGTTCAAATAACAAGTTTATTTAGATAATTTCAGGAAGGCATTAAACATGACTGGTGTATGTACACTGGCAATTAATCCATTTCATGTATTCTTAAAATTCTATCTATTCTGATGTCAGCTATACCTGAACTCAGAGTTAACGTCCCCTTACCGTACCTCCCCGCTTCTCTGTTCAAAATCAAACCCTTTATTCCACACTCTATGAGGCTCAGCGCATTCACGTGGCCGGAGAGCTATTTATAGGTGCTTTCCTCTGGCTGCTGCTGCTGCTTCTACCAAACACGAGTCAAATAAATGCACTGGAGATGGTTTCTAGGAGAAAATTAATTTATTTCTCAGACCTTGCCAAACTTATGTGAAAATCTCAGTTTGGGGTTATGGCCTA